TTGTAAACAAATATCATTATAATCCGAAATATTATTAGTTATAATTTTATATAATAATTTAAATAAAATTATTTATTTTTAATAATTTTTTTACGATATATGACATTTATATGGCATTTTTATAATTATACCATATAATTTAATTTATTACATATTACAAGAGTTGGCCATTATTGGTTTGCGAGTTAAACGAAAAATGCGCATTATTTTTTTATGTTTCTCATAGATCAATTTATATTCTTCATTTTCTCTTCTCATTTTGTTACTGCACGCCAAACCAATTATAATCTAAAATATAAACTGAAAAATGAAGGCACATGTCAGTACTCTTTTGTAAAAACAATATTTCGCATTTTCGTCGCGCATTTATCGTTGAAAAACAATTACTCAAATTGACTTTGTATAATTATTATCCATTTTAAAATTACGTATAAATTTTCAACACAATACGATTTGGACGATCATTGAGTACTAAATACATGACGATAATGTGAAATAAAATAAATTTTACACTGGACGTTTTGTGAGTGCATACGATTTCTGTAATAACTATGTTATTTCATATAAATTATGATTTTTTTAATTATAATATTATACAATATTGAATGACGTGGTTCGAGATCGAGGCTTTTTATTAATTTTTTTATGCTTGATGTATCGCTTGGAAATCAAATTAAAAATAAAATATGAAGTAAAAAAACTCGTACAAGATATATCATAAAATTATATATTAATTATATGTAAATACTCGTTTCCAATATCAGTTCCATTTCGAGCGTTTGGTATGTGTTGTGAAACACTGAGCATTACGTTATTAGTAACTTTGTTTGCCCTTATCAGTTATTTATCAGTTTAAGTTGCGTCACGCAGCCGCTGTTTTTGCTATTCTGCAATTTATTTGTTTTGTTAATATTATTATTTTTATCGCATCTTTTTTTGCTGACAATTTTTGTAGACAGTTCTATAGCCTGTTCTGTCAACATTAAATGGTGATCTTGTACATTTAGCGATAAATACATTAGCATGATTAAACAATTTTGGTTTTTCAAACAAGTTAAACGTATATATTAGAAAATAGAATTTCGTGATAAACCATCAAAAGAAAGAATACAATTAACGTAATTAATGTTGAAATTAATGTTTTAAATGATTCGGCATTGGGGTGTTCGATTGTTCTAACTATAGTTCAAACTGATATAATTGAAATTCCGATACGACAGGAAAATCAGATATGATTATCTAAGTGTTGTACCGACTCGCAATTAGACAACTGCAATTTAGCCCGAAATAGGATCAAGAAGTTACATTATAACGAAGTCAGATTAAATCGCGCGAATGGTGTAACAACGATCCTTTTTGCATGCACGTTATTATCGTAGATCTACAAGAGAAGGAAATTGATGTTTAACTTGATTCTAATCGAGTCTAATCGCCCATCAGTTTGGATTAGCTAGCAAGAGGCGTTTTCGAAAAAAAAAGAGGAATACAACCACGAGAACATTATAAGGTCGATGCATTCAGGGCAAACATGAGAAACAGCTATTACTTACAATTATAATTAGTTTACCGATCGGGGTTTGACGGACGTGGTATCCACTGACATTTAACGTTTAAACTCGTTGAAATCTCGAAGCAATTTAGTAGGAGACTGTAAAACACTTTTGCAAGTATTAGGTTGTAATATTTCGAGACCTTTTCAAATGTACTTGAAAGAATCTGTCGTAAAAAATCGTCCGAGCTAAGCGAATGAGTGATGAGTGAAATCAGCGCAAAGTGGGTGGCTGAGGGTGGCTACGATGTGGATTAGGTGTTGGCGTGCAGAGATCGGGGCTGCGCAGAAGCGGGGGCAGCGACGGGGCCGGGGGCCGATACTACTGCAACCATCGCGGTGATAGACACAACGGCGACCGAGTTCAGAGGGCCTCCCCTCGATCACCACCCGAACATCGTGACGTTCCATCATCGGGGTACACTGGACGCCCGCGCTATCGCATCCTCGCGTCATGACACAAGGTACTTGGACGGGGAAAACTTGATCCAGGGCTCGAACACCTCACGTAGAAATATCGTAAATGATCCTCAAATATCCCGCGGATGTATCTCCGAGAATTTTCAAAATCCGTCTGGAATTGATCCACGTGAAAACGTGCGAGAATTAACGTGCTCGAGGCGTCTCGGAAGTAGTATATACTTAATGTTTTCTTCTCTTTATGTCTATCGTTTCATTTTATACGATATATCGTAAAAGACAAATCGTTTTTCCTTACGTTTCAAAGAAATGTCTGTTACGCACCAGCAATACAAATTTTTATTTTATACGATTAAAATAGATTATGATAGGTTTTAAGAACGTGATGTTATTTTTTTTTCTTTTTGCAAGGAAACAAATTTTCATATCATGGAAATATGATATTTTAAGATTCACTTTTTATAATTGTTACTTGATATCGTTACGTGTATACCAAAGTATTCTTCTTTGAACGTATATTAGAATAAAATATTTTGCGTATATTTTGCGTGGAATCAAACTGATTGTGAGATATTTTGCAAGTATTAGGTTGTGTGAAATGATATTCTCTGTGATGAATGTGGAATCAAATCGGGAATAATTCGATTCACGTCATGATTCAATGTAAATTTTGATATACGAAGTATTAATTAAACTGAAATATCCGAGATTTTGTTGATCAATTTCAGGGCGAGGTATTCAATTATTGCGCTCCGACAAAAGGGGTAAGCACTTCCTGACGCAACATTGATCGTAATTCGTAATCATAAATCGAGAATACGCATATACATACACACACGCATACACGTAAATGCATGCGCATCATGCACTGATTGATGATATCTTCATTGTGCACTCGGCACTCGACTAGAGTCGATTGGCCTGATTGATTCTAGAATAGAGTTTGGCGAGAGTATCTGCATGCTGATAACTATTATGATCGAACAGGTGTGATTGACAATAGTAGGAAGTAGCGTCGAGATTGATGTTTGCAAGGATAACTGTTTAGGAAGTGACATACACACATGACTTAGGCAATCAATAATTAATTAGTATAAACAATATCATTTTATAGCGCGCAAATATATTTATTACAAACTCTAAAAGACGATTGCTAGTAAGACAAAATTTTAATAAATTTTTTACGATATATAAAAGATAGCTTTTATGTCTCAGTTTATAAAAATAAATTCTTATTTTGTGATGACCTTTTTTCATAAAATCGAAAATATATAGATACTATAAATAAAAAGATGAAAAAATATAATTAATAATGCTAACAACAATATGGTATGATAACAATATAAAGAAGAAATATAATTTTTTTTAATAAATATCAGAGAGAGATATAAGAAGCTTCTAAACGCTCACTTATTCTTTCACGAAAAATATTTTACCATCTATAAGATTGTAAAAAATCACAGGAATACGAGAAATATTTTTTAAAAGACCGAGATAAAAGTAGATTTTTTCGAAGAATGAATATTTTGAATGAACTTTGGCTAAGCAGAAAAAGCTCGGGATTAATCTTTTCAAAAAGAGGCTTCGTTGAACATGACATGAAAGATTAAAATTTCATTGCCACAAAAGAAAAATCAGGATAACGTGACAATTCTTATCGTTGAGCGGAGCGTAAATGCTTTAAAATTATTAGACAGATTAACTTCTTTGATGTAAAAAGAGAAAGAAGAGTCGAGTTCATGATTAGGAAAATTTACGCTTGACGAAGTGAGAAATAAATATCTCGTTCCAGACTTCCATTTGAGGTCTTATCGACTTTATCATCTAAATTCTAATATGTTCTCATTATCGGTATTAAACATTTCGTGGTTACTTCCGATTTTTACGCTAATTGACTGAGTTCATGTTGATTTGCGGTTGAAGCACGGACATTAGCTATCTCCAATGCGATGGCCATCGAAAATTACAACGGATCGCTTTCAAAAGCTTCAAAGAAAATCTTGATAAATATATAAAGATTTCTTGATTTACAATAATGTAATACTCTGTTTAAATAACTGATACGATAATATTTAAACAATAAATTAATGGTAAAAAAAAAAGAATGAATAAATGAAAATATTTATTTACAAAAATCACACAAATAAAGAAGTTCGCATAGGGTGTCGACAAATTATGGGTACAAAATTTGAACGTTAGAATAGCAACGTAGGTTTAGAAATAAATAAAGAAGTGTCGCTTATAAATAAATTTGTAGAAGTACTAAGTGATAGAAAATAGATTTCTTGAAAATCGATATAAGCGCAAATGGCGTATCCTTGTTCCTTTTATTCAAGCTCAAGAAATTTATTTAAGTACAATTTTACGAAAACATTCAGATGTAGAAAAATTCAATGTAGAAAAATAAAATGGCAAACCCCCGAATCCTTGCTCTTTTTCTACGAGATAACTTGTTCCAATTTTCACGTGACATTTAATTATCAAGCTAGAGAATTATCAAGGTAGAAAATTGAAATCAGAGAAACATAACGAGATGTTTGCTGAGGGAAAATCGATTTCGAGCTCGAGAAATTCGTGGATGAGATTTGTACCTGTAGTTTTACGACACTCTATAACGAGAGGCACGATTGTATCCTACGTCGTGACTCGCGTCGTGCCAGGTTGTGACGACTCTGGGACCGGCGAAACCGCAACGACTAGTGTCCGGACACGCGTCTTCGACGGAGGTGTCGTCGGAGACGGCGCGCGAGCATCAGACGATTGAAATCCAGGAGCTGGAGCTGCAAGAGCAGGAAATGCGAGCCCTGTTGTCGCCGTCCAGTCCGACCAGATACCATTTGGGCAATCTAGCCGGCACCCCGCCGCACCGGCTCTGTCTGGAGACGAGCTTCACGTCGTTGCAGAGTCCAACGGACATACCACAGGCCGGTCGCGAGCTCAGCGTGGACTCCCGAGGTATCCCGTGGGAGTACGTCAGCCTCGCCAGCGAGCTGCTCAACACACCCAGGCTGGAAGACGGCAAACCGTAAGGATGATGAACCACTTAGAACCCTTCGCGATCCGGTAGCATCGATCAAGGATCGATATTGATGTCATGAAATTGGTCTCATTTCCTTTGAAGCATTTGGTTGACTAATCAGAAGAGAGAATTTTACTAATTAATTGACATTTCTAGTATTATTTGTTGACTGTATCCTTCAAGATAGTCTTGATACGCACAAATGATCTTTTTTTTTTTGTTAAATTCCTTCTTCAAACATTTTAGACATTGCTCCGGATCGCGAAGGATTAATATCGGGATTACGGGAACGAATCCCGAAGAAGAGGAGATTGATAGCAGCGATAGAAGTAATGACGTTGAACTCTGGCCACCAGCACGACGACGCTATCGTATCTTTGTTGGACATCTAAAAAAAAAAAAATACAATTGCTGAACACGAAATTATTGATTTTATTCGAACATATTCAGGTTAATCAAGATATCTCTAACGCAAAAGCAAAGTAGATTTTTATAAGAAAGTATAGCGAATTCTAAAGAATAATTGAATGAATAGTAGGAGAACCGTTTAATCACAGGGATCATTGAGCAGAGAGATATCAGGAATCCGAAAAAATGAATCACTTGTCGCACCCGCTTTTCACTCAGATCTAGTAATTTCATTTCACGCTCTCGTTCACTCTCGCTTCTCTCGCTTAGATCCGAATCCTCACCATATATCGTGCACTTCAAAGTTATCGTCGCATCAATACGATCATAAATCCCAATAGATCACCGTCGCGCAGGAAGTGTTCCCAAATGATACAAGGTCCGAGAAGGACACTTGTGTCATCTGGATTTGATACGAATCTATAAAACTTCGTTTTATAGATGAATAGAAAAATTATCGAGTCTTTTCCTTGCGATGAAATTCACCCTTTCCTTTCTTTTCCCGGCGAGAAGACCGAGTCGCTGGGACGATTCGCGTACGGCACCCTTGGCTACACCGGAAACGCTGTCGGAGGCATCGACGAGCAGTCCGCCGTCGCCGGTAGTCCCGGCACCTAGGCCGATGCGACGCACCCCCAAGATCCCGGGAAACTTGTCGACGGCGGCGGACGACCTGAAGAATAATCTGCACTACGCGATGCTCTCAGCGAAGAACTACTTCCTGAGGACGGGGGAGCACGCGGGAGGCAGTAACAACGGCAGTAGCAGCGGCAACAGCGAGGCGAGTTACGAGAGCGCCAGGAGTCTGGCCGCCGCCGGTCTTCCGCCGCCAGTCCCGAGACGACGGGACTCTGTTATCGTTAGGAGGTGGATATCTTTTTACTAAAGAAGCCAAAATTTAACTTGTCTCTTACAAAGAAAAGATTTCTAAGGCCCAGTTTCACAACCCACGCTTATAACTGAAGTTCAACTTATTTTTAGCATTAGATAGAGATGAATAAGTTAAACCTCAGTTAAGAGTTAATCATGAATTGTGAAACTGAGCCTAAATGCAATATCAAAAGTCGCTCTTAACTTTGATTTTTCTGTAACTATTATTTACGTATTCGTTTATGTATTAGTAATCAGGCCTTATATTTAAGACTTCCTTAAATTTATCTTTAGACGCTCAGTAATCAATAAAATAATTCGTAGAGTATCTGAAGATAAATTTAAGGAAATCTTAAATATAAGGTCTGACTATGCATACATTAGTCTACTAAATATTTTAATGAAGTTAGTAAAAATCTATCCTACAAGTGTCTTGAACTTGTTTTCATCAGAATTTGTATATGCATGTTTCGTATAAATAATACATATTTCAGAGAACAACGGACATGCACAGCAGCGTGTTGTAGGGATGATTTGTCAGAGAATTCGTCAACTCACACATCCTCACACTCTTCGAGAGTCTCTCGTACTTCGCATCGCGTTCAAGTGGAGTTTAACGAGGAAGAGACCGGTTCCAGTTTGGATTTCTACGAAGCAAAGGTATATTCAAAACCTTGCTAAAAAATAATTCTTACAATCATATAATACAATTCTTACAATCATATACAAGTTCGTATCTTTGTATTTTCAGGGTTCCTCTGGGCAGCGTGATAGTAGCAATGATGTCTTCCTCAGCGTGCGCAGTTCACCAGAGTGCAAAGGGCTCATGGCACCAGCCACGGATTTAGGTGCTGAATGGAAGAAAGGAATCGATGCTACCGGCGTGGGCGGTGACGCCTCGTTACCGCTTCTCCGAGGCCTATCGCCCACACCGACTCCCGGCCAGCACAATTCGCCATTTTTCAACGCTAAGCGGAAAAAATACGTGTATCCCATTACGTTGGTGGGACGAGGAGAGAGCAGCGTCTAGTCGTAGATTCTAGATGAAAAGGCATAATCAATGCGATTGCGAAGGTCTTCATTCAGTAAAAAAGTCAATCGAGATAAAAGAAATAATGTAATGATTTCGCTCTTTGCGGCTCATGTATGGTTTGATTCTGTTTAACTTCGATTAAAAGGAATATTTATTACGCGTAAAATGACGTTAACTCAGCGAATTGAAATAAAACCAATCGAGGACCACGAGACACGATAATAGTAGTCAGAAGTAGGTGTTTAAATACATGTGCCAAATTTTTCTTCTCCAACTTCCTCTTCTTCCTTCAATTTACAAATTTCTTAAGTAATCAAACCAAACAATATTCTAACAGAAAACCTGTGTGTGAAAATCTAGAATTAGAACATCTTTAAAACACTTTTACGTTTCGATTGTTCATTTTCGATTTACAGGTACAGGATTTCAGACGTACTTTCTTCAATTATTGTCCTGTCTTGATACAAATATTTCAACTAGAGATATTACGAGAGATACAATTTTGTAATCTTATTGTAATAGTTACAATTACAAAGAACAACTTCTTCTAACAGGATTACTTAGAAATATCAATGATAAGACGTGTGCATGTTCCTAAGAACAATGTTGAAAAATAATCGAGCAATTTTAATAATTGATCAATGAAACTAAACATAATTGTGTAATATGAAATTATCTATCTTTTTGGGGGAATTTTCAAATTCCATATCAGAAAATCTATTCCCCATTCGTTTAGGATCGGAAAGAAATGCATTTCTGCAACCATAAATCTCGTAAGATTAAAATATATACTGCAGCATATTGCAGTAATAGCCTATTTTGTAATATCGTTTATTAAAATTACGAAGAGACCATTGATTTTTATATATTTTTAAATATAAATCTGTACCAAATAAAAATCAAATCTCGCATACGTTCCGTATAATTTTTTGATATAATTTTTACTATTTCTTAAAACATAATACTTTAATGTACAAATCGATACGATGCAGTAATAACTATCAATACATTTTTTTATTATATACTCTAATCAAGTTGCTCGAGTTTGATGACGATACTTAGTGTGAATGAAGGAATATTTCGCGATTACATAGTTCAAAGATGCGATTATCAAGTATGCGACCTTTCTTAAGAATTCGAGTTTTGTCGCTATACTTATGTAAAAAAAAAATAGCACCAGGTGGCATTTAAATTCTAGTCAATAATATACATATACACACACACACACACACACATATATATATACCTTAGGGAAAATTCGTAGAATATACAATTAATTTTAATATAATACATAATATAAATTTATTTATAAGAAATAAACGACGAAAAAAATGCTACATCTGTATATAGTGTATATGCAATAGATTAACCGAATATTGAATAATCATAGAATGATTTCGAAAATTATCAATGTAACATGGACTCAATATTGCATACCGAGTAATAATAAATTATTACAGTGACTTCATTATTATTCATTCATACATTAGGAAAATTCTTTATACAATATATATAATAATCATTCATTCTAATATAAACATTATTCTATTTTAACTGTTGAAATTTTCTTGCACTCATGTATAAGACAAAAATAGTTTGTTAATAAGATAAGCTGTGCAAAACATTAGATTTATACAAAAATTTACTGCATAGCGCTTGCCCATGGTGGTATCATAGGCTGTGGATTTTGCAAGTAAGACATCACTACTGCCGATATCGACAGCATGAAGCAACTGAGGATTTGCTTGGCGTCTTCGCTCACTCGCGTATTGGCAAAGCTGATGCAGGAACAGTAGAGTGCTACCCAGGAACACCACTTCAATCTCATCATTAAGCCGCACATGCTAAATATCATTCCTATGACGTTCATGTATTCTGGAGTCATGTCGTCCTGCATATGTAACTGATTATTTGAACCCGGTGGCTTGTAGCGAACTTCTTTATCCGGTCGCCTTGGGTCTGTCGAGCTATTCATTTTGAATATCTGCAATACAAAATATCGATGCTAAATAATAACTTCATTATTCTCTACGAAAGAATTAATTAACATTGTAACACATATAATTATTATTATTGTAATATATACATAATTATTTTTCAAAGCAATTTCTATTTTAATAAATTAGTACTTCTATATACGTCAAATCCATAAGATTTTATTTTATCAAGAAAGGTTATCATGTCACAGTAAATTATTTTCAAATGTAATTTAATTTAAAATACTAATTAATAAACACAGTAATTTACAGGATGACAATAACACACTTACGTGTCACTTGAAAGCTGTATTATGTAAACAATTATTTAAATGACTCCACACAATTCGATCACCGACAACGAGTTGTGCTGAGTTGTCACAAGTGTCACAATTCACAATTAGCAAGAATTTCAGGTTAGAAAGGAGAGCCAGAATAGCCAGAAAGTAAACGCGAGACTCGCAGCGCCGCGCGTGGCTGCTCCGCAAAGCAGCGTAAAACCTACGTTACTGTCGCGGAGGGAGAAGCCCGACCATAAAAAGTGAGCCTCGTCTATGAGGCTGCGCGCTCGAGCCTTGGCTTAACTCTCGGCGATTGTCGGCGGACGGCGTCGCGAAAAACATCCGTTCCGTTTCCGCGCACGCGGCACGTCACGTCATCCGAATCGTCTCTCCTCATCTCTCCTGTATCGTGTCAATCTCACGCACGCGGGATGAGCGTTTAATCGCGCGCGTGCGGCGCCAGTGAGAGCAAGCAGGCACGAGCGAGCGAGCGAGAGAGAGGAGAAAGATGTCGAAAGTCGCTGACAGACAGAGCTATGCGCAGCCCTACAAGCTCGTCGTCGTGGGTGGGGGCGGTGTCGGAAAATCGGCGATCACTATACAATTCATCCAAGTAAGTTTCAGCATCAATAATCTACTTTGTTGATCTGTCATAGGATCGATCGCGAGCAATTCGCGTTTCGATTCAATGCGCAGAAGCGTTTCTTCGCGTCTCGCAGATCTCGCGTATTCGACGGGATTTGATTATTTGAATTTCCTTTTTCATTCGAAAAGCGTCGCGTTTACGTTCCGAAATGCGATCTCCCGTGCTTTCAGAAACCTTGATTATCGTTCGACATGTCATCGAATTCCTGTTGGAGATAATTAAGTCAAGGTGATAAAAACGACAAAATGATTACGGGGAGAGGGGGAAGTGTATTTGTGAAATTCCTAAGCGAGATATCGTCGTGTTACGTTTGATGAAATGAGAAAACAACAGTTGGGATGAGTTGGGCATTATTATGTCACGGCGCGTATGCAATCGTCATATATGGTCATATACGCGGCAGCGCCGTGGCGCGTCGATTCTAACGAAACCTCGAATGCGTACGTGCGTACTCCGCAAGAGGGCGGAAAGGGGCATGTTGGCAGTCGTCGAATTGATCGACGTAATCGACGAGATACTATTTTTATTAATTGTCGGTAATATCATTGTTCTTCAATTATCTCCGAATCCTATTCCTCGCGGCCCCATCAAATGCAACTTGTCGATGATTAGCAAATATGAGAGATGTTTAAATTTTGATTTATACTAAAAAGTATAATTACTCGTATTCTTCTCATCTTGAACTCTCGCGTCAGCTAAGTTTTGAACAGACCTGATTTAGAACATCCCTCTCTGATGAAAATTTTTTTTATAATTCTTTATATAATTTTTCAGTGTTTATATAAATTTCAAAATTTTTTTAATTTGTATGTAACTTCATAATTTTTTAGAAAATATCTCAAATTTGTTATATTGGAACATTTCAGAAGTTTAGATTTTTTAGAATTTTTCATATGTGTGAAAATTCTATTGTAAAATATTCTAGATTTCTAAGATTTTTTTGTAATTTTTGAAGAAAACTTACAAAAGTTCTGAAAAAGTTTACGGTTTAAGATACTTTTTTGGAGATTTTTTATGAATGTAAAGTACAACAAATTTTTAAAAATATAAGATATGAGATTTTTTCAAAGACACTTAAACACATGATGAAATTATAATGTAATGTACATTCTATATACACTGTAGTCTAAAATTTTTTTCAGAGTTATTTCGTGACCGATTATGATCCAACAATCGAGGATTCTTATACGAAGCAGTGCGTTATCGATGATGTGCCAGCTAAACTCGACAGTAAATGAATAATAAATCTATCTATATTTATTTTAAAACTTGTTTTTATTGTTGCTCATATAGATTTTTAAATCTCAAATCAATCCAGTTAATCCTGATCATCAATCACAAGTTCATTCACGTTTATTTGCTTTATCTGAATCTGATTTAATTCAGAATCAAGAATCAAATATCATATCGAAACTATGTTTACGTATAGTATTGGACACTGCTGGCCAAGAAGAATTTAGTGCAATGCGGGAACAATACATGAGAAGCGGCGAGGGATTTCTCCTCGTCTTTGCTGTCACTGATCACTCGTCTTTCGACGAGATATTAAAGTTTCACAGGCAAATACTTCGGGTAAAAGATCGAGATGAATTTCCTATGTTGATGGTTGGAAATAAAGCAGATCTGGACCACCAAAGGAGTGTAAGTTTTGTTAATAAATTAACAGCTTAAATTTTACTTTGGATATTTCTTTCTATAGAGAATAGTAGTAATTGTAATTTTATATATTTTTATTTCCTCACATTTTTCTAATCCATTTAAATCTTCATTTTAGGTATCAATTGAGGAAGCACAGAATATGGCGCGTCAATTGAAGATTCCATATATTGAGTGTAGCGCTAAGCTACGGATGAATGTAGATCAAGCTTTCCACGAGCTGGTGAGAATCGTCAGAAAATTTCAACTGTCGGAACGGCCACCACTAAAACCAAATTACAAGAAGAATAAGAAGAAGTGTTGCATGCTGTAATAATAAAACTATTTATTCTGACGGATTTATCAGGTATTACTTATCGGGTTGTATTTATATTTTTGATAAGTTCAGGAAAAAAAGATAATGATAAATTCAAAACAAAAAGATACAAATTTTTTATATATTCTTAGGAAATAATTTACATTTCCACGAAAATAAAATTTTTTTCCGTGTTTAGAATTGGAAATAACACGGATTTTGATATTGACTACATAAATTAAATTTTAGGTCAAATTTATTGGTAATGATAATGAAGGCAAGATTTTATCAACGATTATCATCAATATGCGATATTGTTCTGTGACGATTATAATAACGTAATTATTTATAATGCGACAGAAAATAATTTTTGCCATTTTTTGCATTCTGTCCAATTTATAATTTATAAAATAATGAAAAATAGCTTTCATTCTATATGGCAGTTTTCGCACAAATATTAAACGCAATAGCCCAATGATAAATAAACTATTTTTGTAACAAATTTTACTAAAAAAAATCTATAAATTATTCTATTACCGAATGAAAGTTTAAAACAATTTACCATTGTTATTTATAATGTGACGTATTGCTTAAAATATTATAAAGCATATTATGATATAATTGAATTTAATAGTAAACAACAGCACACTGCTCCTAGGGTCACACATTTGTTTTTGTTCGCTGCTTATCGTCTGATAGATTAATGATCTCGAATTGCAACAAAACACAATTTACAAATTGAAACAAATAGAGAAAGATTTTATTTTATAACAACACAATTTCATATGACAATATAGACTTGTATGACCAACATTTTGAAATACAAAGGAAATATTTTTTTTCATATAAGAACAAGATAATTATAATTATGAAATATAGGATATGCTTTTGCTCTTCATCTCTTAAAAAAAAAAAACTTTAAAAACATTAGTTGAAATACTTTATTTTTATTTACACATATGAATCAATGGCTGACAATATATATATATATATATATATATATATGATATCCGAGAAAATGCATTCGAAAACAGTTGATATAAATGTTTTATAATGATAAAACTTAAATACTCTGTATTCAGCCACTTATCGAAAATACTCCTGTTATTATTAGCAGCGTTCTAACTTTTCCTCTTCCTTTAGGTTGAGTCATAATGTCTAATTGCGAAAAGCAAAGTAACACAGTAATATTGGCAAATTAACAAATTAATCGAGTAAAAAATATTTCTATTCGAATTATGTCCAACCAAAATGAGAATTGTTCAAATTATTTAGAGTTACCTCTATATTTAAATGTAGCACTTTGTGGTTGCAATTTTTAAGTGCAAATTATAATAATAAAATCAGAATGGGGCCAATAACATTTTTAATGCAGATGACCTTATAGTTAACAATTAATTAATATCTTAATGCTATATACTCCACAAGTTCTGATTAGCACGTTGCGACCCTAATTTTGATGTTACAATAAAATTAATGGTTTTTATATTTACTTATATATTTTTCTTATATTGATAATTAATTATCAATATAAATATATTCATAATTGATAATTAAATGTCTTCCAATAGTTATGCTTTAAATGTATGTAATTTTAAAATGTTATGTCTGTTTTATAAAAACAAAATTATAATATACGTAATTTTAACGATATTTTAATCCTTTATAATTCTTGTAACGTGAAGAAAAAATGAAAATTATAAATATAAAAATTTTACCTCTTGTGCAAACTAAATTTGTTTTTGTTTATCTGTTTATTGAGTGGTACTTGTAATAATGTGATGCGATGTCTGTTAAAAATGCTATATTTGTGGAGATATGAAAATGTGTTCAGCTAATTTCGGTTTCACCAACAATGATAAATATTTTTATCTCATATATATAAGCTTACGAAACGCGATACTTTATGAGAAATTACAAAATTTTGCGATGATATTATACTTAATATTAATAATTTATACGAATGTTACATGTATTTTACAAAATGTATGTTACTTGTAACATTCACAAAACTCTAAGAATCAAATAAAAAATTCCATTTATTTTTGTAACTGAGTATATTTATATGTTTGTAAAAATAATGTCTATAGCGCGAACTGACTTTTAGGTTCAGTCTATGTCTGTTAACTTCTGTACCAAATAATATGAATATAAATAATTGTTATTATGTTCTTTTTTGAACTCCCAATCTCCCAACATTATTTCATTTTTTAATACAGATACGTATTTTACGTGCAAAGTGTAAATGATGTAAGCGCACACTCTGGAAAATATACATATATATATATATATATGCATGTATGTGTGTGTATATATATATTGTATATATGCTAAGTCGAACATTTGAAGTTTTGCTGACTTACTGAGAGATGTCGCTACTTTTATATTAAGCGACAAGAATATTATAAATAATATTATAAATAATAAATTGGAAATTTCGTTAATACTGTATGTATCTCAGAAAAGATAATAACATATATGTTCAAATTTAAGATTTTAAAATCTTTAAATACTTAAAAATTTCAAAGACATTTTATGGAATGGTGAAGTGAATGATTAGATGTTTTTTAAGTCGGATCGGTTTTAATTTTCGAGAACATCGATAATTAAAAATTTTTTAAATCAATAAAATGTTAAAAGAATATAGATTGACGAAGAACCTGCACTAATTGTAAAAATTTCACATTGTAAAATTTTGTATTCAGAACAATTTTGCTTAAGGTTGTTTAAAATATTATTATGCGACTCGCAAAACGAAGTACAGCGATTAACAGTGATTATATGTTACGGTACGACCAGTCTATAACCGAATAATGATAATACTCATCTACAACGGCACATTCACCCTAATTTAGATGTTGACCGATCATGGGGGGCAAGGTGGTCAGACGAGATTCCTACCCAGGCTATTCTTGACCAGATCGGGCTAATATTGACACTGCGATTACTCCCAATCACGCGGGATGTCCATAGCTATAAATATTATCGCCACTTTTTATGACATCGTATCGTGGCACAGTAAATTGTGTGATAATTCATTATCATAGTAATTATGCATAAATTATTCAAACGATAAAAAGTTAAAATTATGACATTAGACATTTTTAAGTCTTTTAGATGTAAAAAAAAACATCTTATGATTCGATTTTAGACACTTTTTGTTATCTGGGTATATGTGAACTTTTTATAATTATTCTGTCAAAGTTTTTTATTCATCTTAAAATTTTGAATTCCGATTTTACTTTCGATTAAATTTGGGTTCTTTTTCTTTTTATAATAATATTTTGCAATTCAAAGACTATGCATCTCACGTTATATACGAATTGCTTTGCGATTCCCTTGGACTTTAAACGGATCACAGAAATTATAGGATATAAGCAACTATTATTGCTACGCACACAACTCTTTTTTTTTTTTTATTTCAAGAAATAGCGAACATGGTAATTCTCTTATTCAAGACACCATTAGTAGCAAGGTCGCTGTAACGGTATATTTTTCTGTAGAATCCATTAGCACCAGAGAGATCAAAATAATCGTGTTCACTTTAGAAATATCATTTCGACACTTGAGATTACAGTGTGTTCATTTCGATTAGAATGTGTATCTTTCTCACACGAAAATGTAAATGTTACGAATTTTTTCGTTCAGGTATGCAGCCGATGTCACGTCGCGAAGATATACGACGTAGCCGATAAATTTATTAGGTGTTGGAATTAATTCGTAGCGTTTTACAAGTGATGGGAAGTACTTTCATTAATGTATTTTTTAATGCTCATGTGAAATAAATAACATTCTTTCATTAAAAAACGCTACGAATTAATTCCAACACCTAATATGTATTCATTTTCACGAAAAGAGAAAGAAGCGGAAAGAGAGGAAGAGAGAAAAACAGCGCGTACTTTTGTATAGTAATCACAGGCAATCAATGCCGCCTCCTTTGTTCGCTGGTTCGAGTATTCCGTGAGGTAAAACCAGTTCTTGAGTTAGTGCTTTTGCTTAGGCTCGAATGCGTGCGTATACGCGTATTTATACGTTAGGTTGCGGCGACGCTGCGTCACGGAGATCTGTGCTCGCGAAAACACAAGTTGTAGCGAAAAGCAATACGATGGAAAACATTATGTTAATAACGTACTGTCATAGAAGGTTGCGAAGGTAGTGAAAGGTATGCGTATGCCGCGCTACTGAAAAAAAAAAGAAATACAAAACGAGAGAAGCGCGATAATATCCTATGCGACGTCGCACCGATTCGATGGTAGAAAATCGAGAAAACTGGCATTGAAAATTAAATCGTTTATTACACTTCTCACAGATTCCCTGATTAATTTGAAATGTTAGAGACTTGGCTTAGCGCCGTGTCTCCGTAGATAAACATTCAGCATTTCATTATTCATTCAGTTTCTTATTCGTTTACATGGGAAAAGCAACAACTATTCTCTATTTTATTTCTATTTTTTCCTGTACACAGCAATCGGAATATTCTTCCGTTTGCTCTTCAATTACGAATAAATTAAGGTTAAAAGAAAATGATACCTAATGAATATTGATCATATATCTCGAAAATTAATTGGTCCTATTAAGTAAAATGATTATGTGAACTTCCAATTGTTTGCGGATTATATGCGGTTGCTTCATCATCTTATATACAATAGTGTTATTTACGCATCAACAATTGCGAAAGCCCATAATTTATATAGAAAAGTAGGCTCGTGTAAATACAACGCAGTAAATTAAAATGTCAAGGCTTTTAAAAAAAACGAGCAAATATAGTTAACTAATAAAAATTCCTTTTTAATTAATTCCTTTTTAATTCGTATAACGCTATAAATTTCAAACGTTTCGAACTTACAAAGTCTCCATCAGTGGTAATAAAGAAGATGTATTTATGTAGTCAAATTTCCATCCAATGTCAATGAACTAATATATGATATAAAAATATCTAGGCTAATCTTATTTATTCTTGCGTTAAGATATAACGGATCGAAATAAGTATCAAGTGAGAAGTTTGAAAGTTCTTAATTATAAAAAAACTGTGTTTAACTAATTTTTCGGTTGTTATCAGCTCAGTCAATAATTTCATTTAAAATGTCATTCCAAACGAGGATCTTTCTTCTCAACGACTATCCTACTATATTCTGCACAATTAAATGTCAAGATTAAATGTTTAGATTAAAAAATTATTATATTTAATTCAATATTGATGAGAATTTATTTTTCACTTACGTTAATTTATAGAATAGTCAATTGAATCAATTTCAAATTGTGTCTTCGTGTATAATAAAACGCTGTTGATTGTCAAACAATTTGGAATGGACTAATATTGTAGGTCACAGAGTATATATCGATGTGTCACGAAATAAACAAGTATGTTCTAAAATATTAAAAAATATGTTCACGTATGTCGTCACGTATGTTAAAATAAAATTTATCCAAAAACTCAATATCTTTCATTAAATTAATACCGTTATTTTGCTCTTTTATGTAAATCATTTTAGAAATGTTTCTTCTCCGGAAATTTTATTTTGTCTCATAATCTAAAATTTCAATATTTTCCCAATCAAAGTTATGATTGGAGCTAATAATGTGTTTTATGACTACTGAATGTTTGGATTGATCTAATTTTACATTATTTCGCTCTTTCACTCTAGTTTGGAGCTGTCTCTTCGTTTGTCCGACATAAGAGACATCGCAATCATTACAGTTAATTATATTATTAATTATTTAGATGGTATTTATCTTTATGTGTCTTTATAAATTTGTCTAATTTGTTGAGACATCTATACTCTATCATCGTTTTTGATTTATCTATTACATTGGTAATCTTATTCGTGATCGATCTAATATAAGAAAATATAATCATGTTTTTACTTATCTCATTTTCGTTTTCGATTTTTGAATTATTAGTCTCAATTGTCAAATTAGATCTGTTGACTGCTAAGTTTTTAATCCTTTTATTGATATAATCGAAAATCATTTTCAGAGGATAACCATTGTTCAATAAAATCTCAATAACAAGTTCTAGGTTCTTTTTGTAAAAAGATGGATTAGATAACAACAACTATCTACTAATCCGAATATAGTTCTAACTTTATGACAAATAGGATGGTTGGAGAAAAAAGACAAATATCTATCTGAGAATGTTTTTTTGTGATATCTATAATAATTTTATTATCTTGATAATAGATATATCAAGAAAATTCAAACAATAGTTCTCCTCATATTCAACTGTGAATTTTATTCTATCATGTTGACTATTAAACGTGTCTATAATGTGAGGAACCATATCAATTGAAGCAATCATAAATATGTCGTCACATATCTATAATAGACAGAGATATGACAATTGAGAGAATTCAAAACCTTCTCTTTTAAATCAACTCATAATTTACTTATATTCCATGTATTCTTGGAACCACAAAAAACTATCTTGATTTATATTTATTTTAATAACAAAATAATAAGTTACGTTGACGATTATAGGCAATGTAACTTACAGATATTACAACTTATGAGAGTGTAAAAATAAAGGTGCCCGGGAATTAAGTTCTTTAAACTCGTTGATCAAGGAATGGTCTTCGTTCCGAGTCTCTTGCGGTCTTAAGTTTCCGTATAATAATAACTACATGCGTACAGGTAATCTTCGAGGATGAGCAAAGGACGAAGAAGAAGAAAATGATGAAGAAAAGGAAGAGAGGCGCAGGATTGCAGGATAAAAATAGCATGGTATACCGTCGCAAAATAAAAACTAATGATACGAACCTGCAGAATGACGATCCCAAGAGCCAGACTTGCCGAGCAAGGAGAGGAGCAGAAGGCGAAGCACCAAGAAGGATGCAAGAAGTGAAGGAAAAAGGTTGTTTAAAAGGAAGATTAGGATTTGCCTTTAGAGAAGGAAGAAATAAAACGGTAAATTTTATATTTTATGTAGCAATTTAATAAAACCGTTGACGATGATGCCAAAAATAGAGTCAAATATAATGATGAATTTTTTTGCGATATGTCAAAAAAGAAAAGACGTAATCTCAAAACCTTTAAATAACAAACTACCTTGTCAAGTAATGTAAATGCAATAATTGTATAACGTAATGTAATAATTATATAACGATAATTTACATTTACGACAATGATCGATTGTACGATCGTTTCTTCTTGTCTTTTATCATGTTCCATCGCTATAAGGAATAAGATTTTAGTTGAGAAACTGTCGCGAGAGAGATATATGAGATATATCCTGATAGATTACGTGGCATCCTTGAAAATCCTTGAAGATCTACATCCATCGAGTATTCTCGGGATCATACGAAATGTTTGCAGTGCTTAAGTCTTTAGGAGTCACATCACCGTCAACGTCGGCAGTCCGGGATGGTGGGAGCTGAGCAAGCGGTGGTTGTGCATGTGATAGAAGAAAATCTCCCACCCTCTCAGTGATCGCGCGCTGGACCGCGCTATTCGACCTGTCTCCACCTTGTACCTAGTCTCGCCGCGGTGTACCATTGCAAGAGAGCACCTCCGTGTGGTAGCTCGGTTAAAAGTAGGTATTGCCGACCAACCAGTCGGCCAGCTAGCCGGTCAGTTAGCCGATCAGCCAGCCAGCCAGCCAGCCAGCTCGAAGAAAACAATCCTTACGTGCACACCGTAACGTGCATACCGTGGTGCACACCGGTCTTATAATGACGCGACGCGGTGACCGTTTTGGTACGATAAAAGTTGAGGGCAACCTTCGGGTGTTCCTGCGCTGGTTCGAAGAGAGCTGAGGAAAAAAGAAGAGGGAGTGGAACGGGTTCTCTGGTGCCAGTGTGCAGTCTAGTCCAAGACACAGGATGATAGCGAACGTCCGATGAGTATCCTGCTTCCCATTGCCCTCCTACTAGAGTGAGAGAGAGAGAGAGAGAGAGAGAGAGAGAGAGAGAAAGAGAGAAAGAGAGAGGGCGTGAGGAGAACGAAAAGAGAGAATAGTTCTCCGCGGGTGACTGAGCTATACCGCCACTTCCATCCTTCCTCCACCACCATTAGCGGTAAGAAGAAATGTCGAAACAAGAAGAAATGTCTACCAGGTTAGTACGCGATTATTATTATTGCATTTGGATAAAAGTTGATTGGGCAAGTAGTGCTCATCGATGACTTTTAGATTATGGATTTTCTAATGTTCTTTCGATATTTAGTTATATATTATTCAGTTGATTTGAGTTAGTGAAGAACTTCATATTCTTGTATCTTCTCTAAGACGCTGAATGATATGTATTGAATTTGATGAACTCTTAATCGAATTCTTTTCATTGATGTGTTCCATAATTATTAACTCGTACAAAATCTAATATTAATTAAAAATTTTTGCTATTAATATAAGTTTAGTAATTAAGGAAAAGTTACTTCAGAATGTCGTCATCATTTTTCTGTTTTTAGCTTTTTCTATTCTAACGTTTTTATTTTTGAAGTTCTAACCTTCTTAGTTTTGTAAATAATTTACATTGTATTTACGATTAATTACGTCATTTAATTTTGAGAAATTTACTTTTTTATGTTTATATTCTTAAATGTATTCATTTGCAATAATAATTGGTAATTAATATTCAAATGAACTAACTATTTAACATTTAGCGGCTTTATCTAAACCCGCATTAAAGCATGCATATATATTTTTTAAGTACAGTGTGTGAAGTGAAGCTTACAAATATCTTAAAAAGATAAGAGAGCATTCCTTCAAAATCTATTCACAAAATGATAAGATTTCGTCCTAGACTTGAATCCAGAAAGAACACTTTTAGTTTTATTCAAGAAATATAAAAACAATTTAGATTTGTTAGCCAATTCTATTAGAGTAGTAACCTTGTGCGTCATGTGTTTCACGTCATGCAATCTTATATGCTTGATTTCGAATTGGATGGAAACATATGTCGTTATACAAACATGTATTCATAAATATATCTGTTACAATTTATGCATGATATCATTTGTCATCAGTATACTATTATATTATATTTCCTTCAACTGCGTACAACTTGAGAAATAAAGATATACCTATATGCGTGCCCGGATAATATGTACACTTTCCAACTACAGACGCAATTTCTGTATATTTTACGTAGTATGATTATCCACGAGAAAATGCAAAAATCTTGTTGTTATCTGTAATGTAAAATATTTCATTTAAATAAAAAAGAAATAAGAAATGAAATTTAAATTGGAAAACAATAAAATTTTTGAAAGTTTGCTTTTTATAAAGTGAAATAAGAATTAATTATTATTGCTATATTATGCGAAATAGAATAAAAAGTGTGAGAAAGAACAAGAGAGAGAGAGAGAGAGAGAGAGAGAGAGAGAGAGAGAGAGAGTGTGCTCAACAAAATAATTTGATTTAATCGACTATAAGGAATATGTAATGCTCACCTTTGAAAAACAACATGTTTATCGAAAGCAATTATACTTCACTTAGAATCATGATTCCATGTATTTTATTTTACTCTACTTTTATTTTACTTTACTGATATAATATATTGGATCATTTAAAAAGTATCCGCGGTTTTTTCATTGCATATAGAATATTTGTGAATTAACTATGTTCTCTGGCATTTGACTTTCCCCAAAAGGCAATCTGAAAATCTTATTTGCCAATAACGAAAGGTTAACACCGCAGAAGAAAACGAGGATATGTAATTAATCCTTTAATAAGGGATGGCTATCGGTTAGCGCTTCACCGACCCCGCACGTGTATTAACATCTACCCGTTACCTTCATATCAGAACGTGTTTTCGCTCCTTTCGGATTCTGTTTACGGATATTAATTCATCGTAATACTTCAAGGCGCTTGAACGTTAACGAGCGTGCCATTTGTTATTACCGAGATATGACTTACCCACACTATTTCATGCATGCTGTGGCAACAGAGCGCTTTAAATTAATAACTATAGGCGTATATATACGGCGAACCGATACTCGTGCATAGGGCTCGTAAAACCTGATATCAAATAAATATAAAATAAAATTTGAACATAAAATTATTTAACGCGATAAAGTTATCCGCTGTTTACGCCATGACGCGGTGTCATTGCTGATTTTTTTCTGGATAAATGTTACATGCTATAACTAAAGTATGTAGAGAATTTCTAAGTTTTCTCGTTAGTTGCTTCACTATAATAATTTTTATGTTTATTTATTAGAATAGTTTTTTTACAATTTATTTGTTAAATGACATTTTCTTCTTTTGATTTATCAGTTATTATATTATATAATTTTGTGTGTATAAAAAATATTTTATAAAGTTAAAATAATTATAATCGTTTCTTATTGAAATAATGATATAATTTGATTATGTAAATTAATCTCTCTAATAATATTATCCTACATTGCTTTTTTATATAAATAGAGATTACGAGATTATTATTAATGCTTATTAAGCATATAATTTATTATATATCATACAGTTTTAAATATTCCATTTGAAGCTATTATAATTTTCAATTTGAGTAAGTATTACACAAAATTATTAATATTTGATTAATAAAAAGATAATTTTTTTAAGAATGTACAAATAATTTGCTAGATATAGCGATTGAGAAAATATTATTGGATGTTTCCTATTCAATGTAATCTCCTTTTTTCTCTATTAAAAGATATTTCAATTCGATAAGTATAGAATTAATATATCTATTTATGTATCTATTTATCGATTGAAAAACTGAACTATTCTTCAATAGGTTAAGTTTTTGGCTTTAATAAACCATTTAATAAACCGGCATTAACCTTTAACGCGTAATATATTATACATAAACTTTCGGCCTTAAGAATATATTAATAGAACCAGTTATTTATATTTACTTGGCATATGTTTTGGAAAATGCTTGGTATAATTCTGTCAGGATTATGTAATTATTCATTTTTGATTATTAAAAAGACATAAATCCGTAGATTGAGAGAGGAAAATCAATGTCCACATATTTTATTTTGTCCATATTTTTACCTATTTAAAAATTTAAAGTGATTTTCTTTCACACGATTTTTACATAAATAGAGAATGCGCTCCTTTGAAGATTCAATTTTTTTTTGTATTACTCAATTAAGCAGTTTTTTGTACACTCATTTTGAAAACACTGTGAAAAATCTGGAGACTTTAAATTTGTCAAATGTTTAGCGGAATTCTAATAAACCAGTTCTAATTAATCAGAGTTTAATCAAAAAGATCTAATTGTAAGAAAAGAGTGAAAAAGAAGTTTAATAAAACGTTTGCAAAAATATATAAAATATATCTATCGTTTATTGAACGACGCTATAACGTGAACATGATAATTTTTTGTAAAAATGTATGCCGAAGTGAAATAAATTCAATTCTTTTATGTAAAAATTTTCTCTTTTTAATTCTTTTCTTGCTGTAATTACGAAAACGCTGTGAAAAGTCAACTGGACAATTTAAATTTGTCAAGAGTTTAACGAAACTCCAATAAACGACAAGAATGTAGAATTAAATGTAAGAAAAGAACGAGGGAGAAGTCCAACAAAAAAGTTGCAGAAATACATCGTTTTAATTTGATCGAAGTGGAATTACGTCGTTGTTACTATGTAACGTGTAATCAACATTTTTTTTTAAAACGTTTGTTAACGTGAGTATCTCGCGAGGTCAATTGTCTCAATGTCTGTGCGGGCTGGAGAACGATCCGTGCATTCGAGAACACATTCGAGCGTTTTACGCATCCGTAGTAAATAGAATCATTCATAGTACTCAGGCGTGGTACATCGTGAGCGATGTACCTTAGCTACTTATAATGTTAGGCCGTGTAACCGTGTAACCGATTACGGGACTTTTCTCACCGTTTGCACCGTACTATTACTTACTAGCGCGTTTCTTGCCTCGAAACAATTTAAACAACGAACAATTTAAATATGCAAACGAGGATGATTCTCGAATCAGCGATGTCCGTACCAGCTTAAACAGCCGAGAATAAAAAATAGCTATAAAGATCTTATATTTTCCAGCTTATCTTATATTTTCCAGATAAGCTGGAAAATATAAGATCTTTATAGCTATTTTTTATTCTCGGCTGCTCAAGCTGGTACGGATATCGCTGATTGGAGTGTCGAGAATCATCCGCGTTTGCATATTTAAGTTGTTCGTTTCGAAGTAAGTGGTTATAATACACATTTTTAATTAACGTTTTAAAGAATCAGCGATATTCGTACCGGCTTAAGTATCGGAGAATAAAAAATACAGTAGCTAAAGAACTTACATTTTCGAGTTCACATCTGTGTTATAATCCACATTTTTAATTAATAACGTATTAAAGAATGAAGTTATAGAAATTACGCAAAGTTCGATTGTACAAAATTTTTGTTTTTCTCTTTATTAAAATAGAAATTGAAATGGAAGAAAGAAATAATATTTTTTTCATTAAAGCGCTTGGAGTGATTTGAAATATTTCAATATATGAATCAGTATTAAATATTTCAGTGAATTAATATTACGGATTATACATATGTCATCAAATTCATAGTCTGCTTTTTTATTTTAAGTACACTAGCAAACATTTATTAGATCATCGTTAAACGCTCGGCAAAAAGTGTCTGTCACAAAAAGTAGGTATATACGTTAGATATCTATTAGCTTGTCTCTTTCGTCGGACTCCCGTCAGACATCTGTTAAATTGTCAAACTTCTTCTACTACGCTTCCAGTAATTCTTAGCTAAATTAGGGGGCAGAAACGTGATGAAAAGTTCAAATCTAAAAGCCACATAATAGTCGTAAATTAATGGTTGCCCGCCACGCGATAGCCGCGTAGCACGCAGAGTATCCGCCAGGAACTCGAAAGCGACGTTGTACGATAGAACATAACGCTCTCGTCGTCGAGATGCTAATTAATACTACAAAGACGCGAATCGAGAAGGGATACATACATAGTGTGAGTAACTCTAAGCATTTATTTTCGTCGTTTATTATATGTTCGCCTTCGTACCGACACGATAAACACCGTATCGTTTCGTAGAAGGCTGACAGGTATTAGATCCGCTTATTAATGTATACAAAAAAAAAATTTATAGTACATAGTCCACAATTCATAATACATAGTAAATTGTAGAATAAAATGGAAACGTTTAGAATTTTTTGCCTTCTCATTTTGAATAAATTATTAATATCTCGACCTGGTCAAAGTAGTTACATTTGTTCAGAATTTTCCTAAACATTAAATTGCCAATAAAAATCTAATTAGAATAGATAATAATAACATTTTGATTGCCTAATTAAAGACAGTTTTAATCGTTCGCGATCTTTATACAATTGATTTACATTGGCACTATCAAGGCGTCAAGTAATGACTGTCACTTTAATTTGTCGGCTTCACATTTGGATACAATTTCCATCTTTAGATATGTAGATCGGTAGAATCATCATATCTCGAAACGAAAAATAAAACGAATTTTTTATAAAGCTGAACTTACGTCACGATTTTTTACTGTACAATCTTTTACTTTTAATTTTAATTCAATTTCAAGCTCTCGTGATACTCGAAGCGAGACACTTTCTATCAAAATGGAAGGATACTACAGCATGCATGAGTCACGAGAGAGTCTTATTTAACGACACTTTGATCCTACATAATCTTCCTGTATAACTTTTCGATATATATATATATAAATTACTATGTAAATACCTTGTACTGTAAATACTTTAACTTCGTTCTCTTTTACTTTGTTCTCTTTTGCCCTGCAGGAGTAAAATAATTCGTTTTTCTTTTCTCTTCGACTATGTTCCTTTAGAAGCAAATAGAAGGAATAATTATTCCGAACTCGTCACGCGTTGGTACAGGCGGGAATTTTTCTCTGGCGTTCGCGTTCGCGTGCGTGGATGGTAAGCGGGACACGTACACGTGACGGTTCCAATGAACGCATGTTCCAATGAAAATCGTATATATTCCGTGCGTGCGCACAGGTGAACGCGGGAAGCGGCCAAGTGTGAAAAAAGTGCGAAAGAAAATCCTTCTGCAATGGGAAAGCGTGCGGCCAATCAGCGGGCAATTATAAGGAAGGAAACGCATGACTCTACCACTGCTTGTTTGCGTCGTGCAAATAATAGAGAGAGATAATAGCGAGATAGATCGAATGTCGGTAATCTTACGATGAATGCAGGAGGGAAACTATATAGAGATACAGTAGACACGTAGATCTTCGAGGACGCGAAAGTTTTGTTGATATCGACGTTCTCGCGCAAAATAATATAATATAATAGGATAATCCGTAATTCCACGAAACATTGATGATTTCATCGAATGCTGTCAATTCCTTTATCGCGTTGTTATTGAAAGAGCGTAATTGCGTCAAGGACGTCGCTCCATCGCTGATCTGTCCTTTAACAGCGATAATAATTCTAATCTTTCTCTTACCTTCGTAGCGACGGAAGCAGAAAGTGTCTATTATAATCCGCGTGTAATGACATCCGCCTTTAAATGTTTTCAGTCGAGAATCGCATCGGGCTTGCACCGCGGTAGAAAAAAACATGTTGACGAGGAAGAAGGCGAGGAGGACGAAAATGATCCCGCCGGACGGTGGATGGGGTTGGGTGGTCCTTTTTTCCGCCCTTATCGTCAACTTTCTCATTCCTGGCACCGTCAAGTCCTTCGGCGTGCTTTTCGTCGAGTTTTTGCACGTTTTTAAAGCGTCGTCCACGGCGGCCTCTTGGATGCCAGCGTTATGCTACTTCCTGTACAGCTCGTTAGGTAAGCGACTTTTTGCGATGATATTTCACTTTTCAATTGGTTATAAATTTTCTGCGAAAATACGAAATCATATTTTGTGTTCACAGATACATGTATATACAATTATACACATTTATAATAAATTTCTAATTACTCTGATGGAAAAATTTCACTGAAATTATTTCACGTTTTGGTGTACTTTTCAGCAAAATTTCAGCATTTTAGAAAAATTTCTGTTTAATTTCAACGATTTTTAGCTGAAAAATTCATTTTCAACAAAATTTTAAAGAAATTTCAGCGATTTTTTTCAATACGTTAGTTGAAAAATTCACTTTTAGTGAATATTTTTCAGCAAATTTTCAACAATTTCGCTGAAATGTTCCAAAATGTAGAATAATTTTATTGAAATTTTTTCACCAGAATTCATACACAAAAATTGACATCATAATATATATTATTTTACGAATAAAATTTTATTTTCAATGCAATTATACATTTTAATACGTTGTCTTTATACATATTTGTAAGGTAAATAAAAATATCACTTGATATATTCTATAAAAATATTATTTACAATATTTTACAGGTCCTTTATCTAGTATTCTATCGACCAAATACTCGTTTAGAACAGTAACTCTCATCGGCGGCACCTTTGCGGCCAGCGGCATGATGCTGAGCTACTTTGCCAATTCAGTTACTTATCTTTACATCAGGTACAGTTTTTTTTTTGTCAATTGACGTTTGAGAGATGTCGTAAATAAATAGGCAAACACAGTTGTTAACAGTTCTAATTTTAATAACTTCTATGGCGAAACGGTGCCAAATTATTGTGTAACAAGGCCGGTTATTGAATCAATTAATACGAAAGGTCTCCTTGATTTGCGAACATTACACAACTTCTGCGAACTGATAAAGCCCATTCTCTATATGTTGTCTCTATCTCCTTATCAAGTATTTATACTCAATATTATATTAGGTGCGCAACTAAGTTCTCGCTGTTATTTTGATGCATTCTCATCAAAATAACAGCGAGAACTTAGTTGCGCACCTAATACTAAATATTATACTTAAAAATGTATATTAAAATGCTACATGGAACACTTTTGAGGGAAAAGAATTAAACAGATAACGGTTTTATATAATTCTTCTTGCAAGTTACAGAAATAACAATTTATTCTTTTTTTGATACGTAGTTACGGTCTTATGGTTGGAATCGGCGCTGGATTATCATTTCCTCCGACGGTTTACATCGTTACGCAATACTTTGAGAAGCTACGAGGGATGGCGAACGGCCTATGTATTTCCGGTAGCGCAATCGGCACAATAGTGTTACCACCGTTACTGCAACATCTCTTGGACCGCTTTGGATACAGGTAATTTACTAAGAAATTCTAATACCTCTGATAATAATTATTTATTAAGAGAACATAGAGGAGCATTTATTAGAAAAACCGAATGTGAATTATTTAGATGTTCCTCTCGGCTCCGGTTCGAGAACAAGATATCTATTCTACCGAGAGCGCTTCCACAAAAGACTTTATACATAGTTCCAACTGCTTTCGAGGGATCGGATAGTAGAAGCGCACTCCGAAGCGATTTGGGAAGCCACACGACACAAAACCTTTTGCAAACCTACGCCAAAATCTTCGTTTCAAGAAAGGTCTCGCAGATGTCGTACAATGAAGCCTCCATCATTTCGGAAATTCTAATTCCTCCTTTCTATGCGTTTAGTAATAGAGAAAAAATCCAACAAATATATAAAACTTTTTTCATAAAACTTCTAAAGAAACAAATGTAAAAGAAATACAAGCAACGATCCAAGTTGAAGTTTTATCTAAACTATTTCTTTATCGCCCCTTAAAAATAAAGCTGGATGCATACCTTACTTAAATCAGGTTTCTCGTTGTCACATTTCAGAGGAGCTGTACTCATCATGGGTGCGATTACGCTGAATACGCTGGTCTGCGGTCTCTTGTATCATCCGGTCGAGCAACACATGAAAATCGTGCCCCTGGATGACGGTATCGATAATGAAGCACTGACTCTCGACGAGTCGATTGGTGGAAAACAGGAATCCGCTGAAAAAATGGGAGAGGACGCAAAATTCGCGTCGGGTGATGACGAATCAATACGCAGGTTTTCGGATCTTTCGCACAATCAGCACAATGTGGTACTGGAGATCACCGAAAAGACATCTTGTAAGCCTGAGAAGGCAACTTGTAAGCCTGAGAAGAAACTGGATTACAAAACGAATGATACAGTCGTGGGATTACGCTACGATGTCATTAGGGACGAGATTCCGCGTGAAAATACTCCAAATGCGAATGAATTCCGTATGACGATTCGTCCGAGTCAGGAGGACGATGATGATCTGAATAGCGACACGCAGAATTTATCGCGGCGAGGCAGTGCTGGTACCGAGAAAGATGTCAAGTCGCAATTAGATCCCTTGAAAATCAGGAAGAATCCGAAGGAAGATAGGGTGTGCGACGAGGAACCCAAACGGGACGATGTGTGCTCGAAGTCGAGCAAAACACCGAAAAGACATGATGACAAAAAAACGCCCTTCTTCGATCTAAGCGTGCTGAGGGATCCCATTTACTTAGTGATTCTCATCTCCAACTCCACATCGGCCATCAGCAATACGAATTTTATGATCCTATTGCCGTCTTACGCGATTGCCGAGGGCTTCGACAAAAACTCGTCGGCTCTGCTCCTGTCTATAGTCTCGGCGTTAGATCTGGTCGGCAGAATCGGTGGCGCATCCTTATCTGATATCGACTTCGTACCCAAGTATTATTACTTCGTATGCGGACTCGGTACTAGTGGGATCGCTCTGGCGTTATTACCAATGGCGACCAGCTACACTATGCTGTCATTCTTCTGCGGTCTCTTCGGTCTGTCATCAGGAATGTATATCGGTATCACGACCGTCATCCTTGCGGACATGTTGGGAACGGAGAAGCTCAGTTCGTCCTATGGAATTTCGTTGTTCGTTAATGGCGTGTTGCAGCTCGTCGGACCGCCTATTTGTGGTGTTATTTTCGAGAACATACTAACTTATAAGCCGATCTTTTTAGCCTTTGGAATTATCTTAATTTTGGGCACTGCACTTTGGGCGGTAGTGCCGCTTATCAATAGAAATAATAAAAAGGATATAGAAGCGATATAAAATTCGCGCAAATAACTTGTGTACAACTTCGACGAAGGTTTTTCGGTGTAATTTAAGCATTTTATAAGACTTTATGTATTACAATTGCGATGGTTGCGTTGTTGAAAACGTTCAACAATATCCTTAGATACTTTTAAACTGTGAAACATTTGAATTATTGTATATTTCTAGGCGAATTGACACTTGTTTTTGATATTTGTACTTTAAGAAGAAACTTTGGGAAAGCTCGTAAAATTTAATTTTAATTAATATTAGACTTGAAAATAATCGAGCTTTGTATCCACAAAACCAGCATGACCATGTATATAGCTATCTGCGCAGCAGATATTTATCATTACAAGTATTTTCCACGATTTGTGCCATTATTGCTACTATTAAATTGTCATGTAACAAAGGCTTGTATAAACATGAATAGCCATCATTGGAGACAGAATAATGTTGTATTTTAGCAAAATGTGAGATTGTTATCTAAGATGAAAAAAACATCTGTTTGCAAATATATAATTCATTAACAGAATAGATATATTATGTATATTAATAATAATTTTTATATTATTATATTTTTATATTATATCCTGAAAAAATGAATAACTTGTAAAATATTTTTGTAACAATATGATATAAATATTTTTACAATGCCTTTATTCGATAAGTCTTCTGGTTTCTACGAGCCTTTCTGGAACGTGCACACATCAAGCTATTATTGTTTGATTCGTAGCTTATATATTAATATAAGTTTATTGTTAAAAATAATTTTTACTGCCAGTAACAAAATAATATTATTGAGAAATATCTACTAAACTTATCTTATGAATAAAAATACCTAAAACGTTAGATGACGTAAATAAGGACATATACGTACGTACTACAGGAGTTCCGTTAAACAATTTTGTGCCAAAGTGATCAAGAAAGTTTCTAGTAGTTTGAATGACATTCACAGTTAAGAGATATTTAATTATTAAATCATATAATCAATAAATATTCGATTATACTAAATGTTGAATAATCGAAAATATGTAATAATAAATGTAAACTTATACATATAGTGAAATCATGAGGACCATAAGCACAATAGAGATAAATATTCCCCCCCCCCCCCCCCCCCCCCCCCCCCCCTCCCCCCCGGCTTTCAATCAGTGTTTCTCTTTTCTCCTTTTTCTTTCTCTACAATTCTTTACATTTGCATAATCTAAGTTGGAATGACGCAATAATCAAAAATAACTTAAGAAAAAGTTCTTTTGTTATTTTTATAAAAATCATAAACTGTAGTATGAAAGACGTCGATACGTATAATATGCAGGAAAATAGAAGATGAAGAAATATTTTGAATGAAATAAATACTCTTTTTATTTACTTTTATTGTAATTTTAATATTTTAACTTAGTCTTGCGATTTTTCTGACAAGTTTTGTGTATATCGAATGCGAATATAACAAAAAAGAAGGATACATTGAATAACGTCTTTTGTAATCTTTAAAATTTGGGCAATGTTGAGATTAAAGCTATATGCAAAATATATTTCTGTACATATCTGTGCGTGTCATTTGCTCAATTCTCTTGCTTCATTTGTTGAAGATATATAGTCTTCGATTGTATCACTTGTACAATTATTAATTTATGTCATACAATTTGTATTATTCTAACATTCCCCTAATTTCTCAATTCGCTATTATAATTAATTTAATGTATCTAATGCATTGCGCGGATTAAGAAAATGCTTTATTTACACGCATTGTTTCTACTTATCCGAAAGTATACCGCAATATTAAATGTGTTTCCTAATAAAATAAACGTGCATCTATATGGATATATGACGAAAATATATCTCCAATATATTTTCACTATTAAATTCAAAAACTTGAAATAATTGATTTTGATTGAGATTTGAGTGTTAAAAATTTGTAAAAATTCTTAGCGCATTTTCTTCTTCTACAATTTTGAGTTCTTACAATTAAATGTTTAGACTGTTCGTTAAATAAAAATAATAAAAAAATATTCAATTTTAAATGCTTAATTTCAAATTTATGATAATATAAGATCATAACAAATGTATAAATAATAAATGTATAAATAATAAATGTGAAATATTAGACAAAAGCAAAAATTGATTTGTGATTAATCTTTTGTTACAATTGGATTTGAAAAGCCTACGCGATTCTTTGATAAGATTTTAAGCAATCTTAATTATCGTATATAATTATCGATATCAAATATTTAATTATAGGTGTGTTGGTACTAAGATAAAATTAAATAGAAAAAATCATTTTTAAAATTTTGTGACAGCACTGATTTTGTTGACAGCTTTATGCAATTTTTGACAGAAACAAAAAAAAAGCGGAATGGCAAGAAGAGATGTAAGATTATAACAAGTGCTAAAAAGTGGCAGGTTACGAAGTTGTTGTGTCTCTTCGTCCTGTGAAGGAAACGATAGAGCGAATACCTTTTACAGAGGTCTGAAACGTTAAAAGAACAAAATAATTTTTATTAATTATATGATTTGAATAATAATAATATATTTCAAATTGTCACAAAAATCTCATAAAAAAAAAGAAATTACCTTTTTCTTAGATCCATTAAGAAAATCCTTATACATTTCCGAGCGTAAATATCTCGAGTAACTATCACTTTTCATTAGATGGTATACATGCGCCTAGAAAATAACAATAATAAAAACTAGAGAGCGCTAATAATATATAAAAATAAAAAATTGTTTTGAACAATCAATTCGATTAATAAATCAATTCGAGCAAAAAAAATCATATTATAAATTTTTGTTTAATACTCATTTTGAATGATCTGTTTCAAATAATTTTTTCAACTTAGAAAAAATAAATAAAAATTTAATAATTTTATTTCTTTTAAATTGATTAAATTTTCCCTCGTTTCTTTATATGACATACGTAACTAAATAATTAATAAATTAAATTTATACCGCAGCAACATCGAAGCACCATCGGTCCGGCTTTTCGAAACTTTTTTTGGTAATCTCGTAGGATTGAGAATCGACATTGATGGGACAACTTGCATCTGTGTCCAAAAATTCACGCCATATCTCTTCGACTTTCGTCTGGACGTCTTTTTGCGGTAAAGTTTTCAATTCCTGAACGGTTTCCCAAAATCTGCACATATCATAAATGATCTCGTCTCCCTGATGCAAATTCAATATCGTATTATGTGTGTAGATAGAGTATACATAAGTATATAAATAAAATAGTAATATTTATCTAAAGAAAACAAGCTTACGTGGCAATTATTATATACGTACTTGAGATTTTCGCCGCTAAATTCTTTATCTAAAAAGCGTATAAATTGTTCTCTACCAACGGAATCTTGTAGAAGTTCTTGAAGACTGAATGCCCACCTCTTTACTCTTCTCGTAGATATTTCTTTCCTATAAATCCGTAAATATAAATACACATAATATTAGATGATATTTGCCGCGAATACTGCAAAACACTATTTTTTTATAGTGACTCACGCTAATTTTTCTGGCTCCCACATTTCCGGACTATCGGAAATCCATGGATTTGTGAGCTCAGGCTGGGTGAAAAAGGGATCGTATTCCATGTATTGTTCAAAGTACCCGATCAAACTAAAAATATCGCATATTGATTAGCCTATAAACTATAAACGCATATAATATATGTATTTAACGAAGTTTAAATAAATGTAATATTATTACATCATCGAACGCAAGATAAAATGTGGAACAGACACTTTTACTTTCGCTGTTTTATACAAACAACTTCGAGTTAAATCTCGATTAATTTTAATAAATATTAATGCAAATGCACGATATATTAGGTGTTGGAATTAATTCGTAGCGTTTTTTAATGAAAGAATGTTATTTATTTCACATGAGCATTAAAAAATACATTAATGAAAGTACTTCCCATCACTTGTAAAACGCTACGAATTAATTCCAACACCTAATATATATATATATATATATATCCTTTGGTTTACTTTGCTAAACAGATAAACAAATTCTATTGACATACGCTTCTGCTACTTTCGAGACCTTGATGACGGGCTTGTCCAATCTGTCTTTCAGAGTCTCGATCTCCTTCTGCAAAAATTCTATCGATGAGGTCGCACTCAATTCTGCAGACGGCGATATTCTACCACCTGCGACACCCAGTTGCAAATGCTTACTTGGTTGTATAACAGTTTTATAACTGCGACAAGCCTTCTTGATATCTAGCTCCGTAGTATTTACACATCCAGGCTGAAATGTAATATGAGATTTGATATGTATTTCTTTAATAAAAAATGTTTCTCCCATTTATTATATATACGTATTTATAACGCAAAAGTTATCATCCCGATATTTTATCAATAAGAAAACATGTAAATATCCTTTCCTTTATTATTTTAACCTTATTATTTAAAAAAAAATTACCATTGGTCGATGTACATCCCAGAAGGCTCTCTCTTGGCTATCCAGGACTTTTCTTTCTAATTTGTCCCTTTTCTTGTCAACTTTGCTTTGTGCTTCTGCCTGCATAAAAATAAATTCCCATTTTCGCGAAAACATCTTTTGTAATCTAGCCAGATTTTCCGCCTCATAATCCGCCAATTCCAATCGCGTTTTATTCTGCATCGTCCTTTTGCATAAATAGACAGCTGTAACATTTAATGTAATACGCACTAATAGATGTGAAAATTTGTATATTTATTAAATATGTTCTAATTATTGTTAATCATGTCATTTAGGATAAATGACAGATGAAATTACATTAACGATAATATTAATATCCTTTTATACCATAATCAGTATTCTCGGGTTCCCAACAATTCGATGGCCAAAAATATGGTGTTTGAAACCTGTAGAATGTGTTGTCGCTCTTTACGGTAAGGCAGTGGTCGTCGATAGGAAAAAAATATCCATGAGATGCCATAAGATGAGCCACGTGAAGAGCCTCTGGATTAATGTATCAATATATTACGCTTCAGATTATATTAATCATGAATAAAATCTAAGAATTAATATAAACTAAAACCATATACCTTGATCATCTATATCCATGCTCTTCATCATCCATGCTATAAGATCTGTGCCTGAAATATATACATACATATATATATATGTATATACATACATATTATATACATAATTATTTGATTTGTCATCTTCGATTACAAATAATAATGCTTGGTCAAAATTTATGCCTTTCAAAAAAAGCTTAAAAAAATTCTATTTTCGTTATACTTCGCTTTTCTTTTCAAATTGACAATAAAAGATTTGTACCTATAACGTTATAAAATATTTAAAACACAAGTGTTTCTATACTTTTACCTGTGAAAACAGACGGCGTCTTCGTCATGAAAGTCTTGACTGTTTTCACGGGCACACCGGTAAATTCGTCCAACATCTTTTCCACGATCGATTCCATCTAAAAGAGAGTACAGTTATTTCTTTTGTAATTTAATGATGCTTGGGAACTATATATATATATATATATAATAAGCAATAATATAACGTTTGATTTAAAAGGCAAGTTATTTAAGAAATACTTGAGAATAATTTAAATTGCATTGAAGTGAACAGACATTTCTTATTATTAGATTTTTACTAACATTAAATTCTTTGGTTTCATCCATGATAATACCTTTTTGTAGACGAGGTAATTAGGGGTGTCTTCGGCGCAAGAGGCAGTGACGTTGTACGTAGGAGTATTGGGAGATAAATCTGGGGAATCATTCGTATGATCATCCTCATTCTTTTTATCTACATCATCGACATGCTCGGTCGCCTTCTTGCTGCTACTGCTACTGCTACTTTTCTCTATTGGTTTTCGGCGGCAAGCCGACTTTTCGGAGTTCATAGTTACCATATCCACTCTACGCGAAACACAACATTTTTGTACAATAGAGATTTTGTACAATATAGTAGATACAATATAAACATGTTAATAGCATTGCTTTAAATATAAATCCCCGGTGAAAAAAATTTCGCTAAAGTTATCTCACGTTTAGGAACATTTCAGCGAAATTTTACTGAAATTCCTCTGAAATTTATGCAGAAATTTTTCTGAAATTTTAATGAAAATGAATTTTTTAACTACAAATTGCTGAAATTTTACTGACAAGTATTTCAAAACGTACGGAATTTCAGCAAAATTTTTCCACTATGGAAGTAAATAGACTAACTATTGTAAATCTATAACTTCGAAGAAAGAAATCGAGCTAAGAAAATTTCAAAATAATTCCCAAGTCTTTTATTTTAAGCTTAATTTAGCGCTAACATTTTAGATTAATATATATTATATATATTAGGTGTTGGAATTAATTCGTAGCGTTTTTTAATGAAAGAATGTTATTTATTTCACATGAGCATTAAGAAAAGTCTCGATATATCTTAATATATTCTTTTGCGCAATTTTTCTCGCGTGAGTAAAGTTTCCACAGCATCGATCCCAGTGGCCAATTATCTAATTACGATAAAAAATTTATCCCGCAAACCTGACGGACTATTTTTTTTTATATATCATCCACAGCTAGTCTCTTTCAATTTTTAATAGATATTTTCCCAACGAAATATCAAAGAACGATAGAATAAAAATATTAAATATTCTCGAATTAAAAATATTATTGTATGTTCAAGATTGGCACACGAGACAGCATGTCACTACGGTCTATTTAACGGTATATATAACAAGTCCTCTTCGCTATATTGCCGGATACTCGAGAGGGTGATTGAGAAGAGGATATCGGTAAGATATTGTCTCCTATATGTCAATCTCGAATGTGTGTCGGATAGAAACGCGAAGAGATAAAAACACGAAAAATAAATCACGAATGCTCTGTTTTATTATAAATATATAATAATACTGACGTTTTTTATTATCAATCATGATTATTAATAAAAAATAAGGATATTATCAATAAAAAATATCTTATTACATCCAATAATAAATCTTAATTAAAAAATAGCTGGGATCGATATATGCTTTTTTTTATATTTTATATTTTTATTTAGTTTAAAAACCTACCTGAATTGTAACACCTTGATCCACCAATCTGTTAAATTTCGCGAAAGTCACATACTGCCTAGTATAATATTTATCGCTGCATCGTCCCTATAACTCTCTTCATACATTAATAAACACTAAATTCATGTAATATTAAAAAAAAAATTTTCGATCTTTCTGCTCAGAAAAAAAATAACGATTGACGAAAGTATATCGAGTTTACAGCATCCGACCAGTAGTACGGGCGTTGCGCCAGCAACCCTTTCACTGTGCGTCACAGTGCGTCACACAACACGGAGCTGACGGAGCACCCTCCTCGGGAAATAACGAACGAGCGTCATATCTGCAATCGAGGATCCTCCGAAATGAATCTGAGCGAACGTTCTCCAAATTCATATCTCTTCGCACTACTTCGTAGAGGAGCGATACGCTTCGGAGCTCGAACTAATAATCATCGACTTGCACATCCCGGATAATGACACAGAGAAATGGAAGGACGAGAGAAAGAGCAATTGTATTTACGATATAATTGTACCTCTCACGGTGGTTCGCGTGTTGACCCGTGTAAAGAACAGGTCAAGATAGTAGGGGGTAAAGGTGTGCGCGCGCCCCTTTCATGATCTACGCAGCGGTTTGTGTTTCCTAAGGGCGCACGTTAGATTGACTGTCCTCATGCCGAGGCTGCAAGTGCGCAGGTTTCGAGTGCCGTTTTGGTCTTGTGCCAGGGTGAGGAGGATCGAAATCCCGTAGTTGAGCGGTGCCGGGAATAACCAGTCGATAAAATGAAACGCGGCTGCGCCTCGCGCCGAATCACATCCCGCACAAATATCTCTATTTTTTCTACTTGGAAAGATCTGCATGTATTTGCATGGACTTTCTACAATAAGCCGATTACATAATCTTTAAATCTTAAGTCATAAGAATTATTGATCAATTATAGTCGATCATTCTTCTCGCATTTGGTTGATCAATTTCTTATGTCTTCAGATTTAAAGCTGATATAATGGCTTATTGTAGAAAGCCTATTAATTTTAATAACTAACATGATGTACATAAATTAATCATTCCTGTATAATAAAGAAATAAATTTTGTATTTTCTCTCAAAAAAATTTTTTAATAAAAGTCTTGAAATTCGCCAAAAGTATTGAAATTAATTAGAGACAAGGTAAAACAAATTATAATTCCAAACTTTAATTCTAGAAAGAATTTTATTGTTTTATATACATTATATAAAACAATAATATAACACTATATTGCAATACACACACACACACACACAATACATATTAATTTTTATATTATTTTTTATATATACATGTTTGCATATAATGTATATATATGAAGCAAGCTTTATTCATTTCCAATCAAGAGGGATGCGTGTCATTATATACTACTTTACTTACACAAATATAAGATAGAATAAAATGTTCCATATACATTATAGGATACTATTTATTATTTCAATAATTAATAATTTTTTCCAAAATGTTAATAAAACTTTTATACATTCTTTGCTATGTTGTCCTATTATTGTTGAAAAACGCCTAATCTTGCTTAGTGTCTAATTTGGCTGTCGATTGATTTTCCTGAAATATAAATGGCAAAAAATAAATATAATAGTTATAAAGTAAAGTTGATTAAAATGAAATTATTACACAAACAAGCAAAAATTATCAAGAAATATGAAACAGGAGAAAAGCATAGACACCTAAGTTTGCTTTTATCAAAACCAGTTTCTTCGAGTATTTGTTTTTTTATCTGCCAAAGACACAGATGACGTTTCAATTATGGGTTCAGAGATTTCCTTAGTGTTACGAAGTGTTACGTAGTGAACAGGTTCTGTCGTATCTTGATCGATGTTTGCATAAGTTAAGTACATAGTAATTTTTTAAAAGGTGGTAGTGACAGTATTTTGTATTACGTTAGCAATATGTTTTCGTAATATATCATTATTTTTATAATGATATACTATTTGTACTTATTTCCTTCTTGATTTTTGTAAGAGATTAATTTAACTATTCAATAATTGTGAAAAAGTATTATATAAACAGTATATTATATACTGATATAGCACATCGTTTTTAAAGCATTCTCAAAAATGGAGATTAAGCAATAGAAATGAAGCAGGTGTAAGGAAGAAGTGATGCAGTGGAGAAATTTCTTCGTTGCATCCTACCTCCTTGTTACTGCTTAAAGAGGCATATGCGTTTTGTGCAAAACTACCAACAGCAGTAGCCCGTTGAATCTACAAATTCCGAAAAAGATGTTGGCATTTTCGGCATTTCTGGCATTGTGATTTGCAGCTGTCGATTGTCACCTGGTTTGACTGAAATTATTTATAGTAAAATATCGACATATCCATGTTTTGTATCGTTGACAATTATATCTTCAATTTTGAAAGCTGGTAGTCTTAACAGAAAGCATCTCATTTGACTACGTTGTATTTGATTTGTAATCAATTGCAATATATTAGGTGTTGGAATTAATTCGTAGCGTTTTTAATGAAAGAATGTTATTTATTTCACATGAGCATTAAAAAATACATTAATGAAAGTACTTCCCATCACTTGTAAAACGCTACGAATTAATTCCAACACCTAATAGTTAAATGACTCCCATCCGTTTTAATATAAATTTCTTGTGTTTATAAAAAAAATAATTTGCTAAAAATAGTTGAATATACATTACCACCATAAACAAAATTGTAGGCAACGTTCATGTAATGTTTAGTCATATCGAATCCTTCTTTCGTGTTTTTAGGATAACAGATAGCTGCAATAGAGAGTGCACCCGCGCTAGAATACATTATTCGTTTGAATTTGCGTCCTCTAAGTCCAAGCACTAATCCAGCTATTCCACCAATAGCGATGGCGCCCATTCGTGGCATAGTGTTACTTTCTTCACGTAGATAATCTAAAAGAGCTGCAAAAAAAAATAATTTGTTATTGCGTTGTAGAATAATTATATAAAATATATTTAAATATATGCTTAATTAACACTTACAACTACTATGTTCAAAACCGATGTCGATAGTATCTGAAATAACATCAGTATAATGTTGATATTCAGACACAATTGCTTGAACTGACTTGCGAATTTTAGATATGTTCTGTTCCAGGGCTGAAGGTCGACATTCTGTACTGTTATAGAAAATTTAATAATAAACATTGCATATCAAAATAATTGATAGAAATATTAATTTTCATACGAATTTTCATAAGGAATATTCAATAACGTTTCTCTTGCTTCTCTAGTAACAGTTTATCACAAGATTGGAACATTTCTTAATTGTGAGTTAAATCTTAATCTACGATATAACAGTTATAATTGGAATTACTTGTGCTTTACCATGGGGTCTGTTTAGAATAATCTTCAAAGCAATAAATAGGTAGTTCGGATGGTCGAATTAATTTCTTGATTGGCTCCTTATTACAGAGTGACATTTTGTCTTCCGACATATTTGTTGATTTTATTACAGGTATCGCGCATAACCCGCACGGCATCAAGATTTTCTTGAAAAACTTGATAAATAAAACGTGTTTAGTGTTTTAGTCTTAATATTTCGTATAGATTTGGAAATTTATATAATCACAGAGTTACCATTGTGTGTTCGATTTCTCGTGAAAACTTATATAAATTATATCTGTATATTACAGCTCATACGTATATATTAATACGTATATATTATATATACGTATATATTAATACGTATATATTATTACGTTATATATTAATAAATTATGAAAACTTTTCAGCTTTTATAAAATTGTCAAACAATGTACTGTTAACAGAAGACACAATCATACCGCATAGTATTATTAATTGCCACTAACTCATAACCTAACCTAACCTTTCTGTACAAACCAGCACTAACCATACCAATCTACATGAGAATGGCGGAATGTGAGAAATAAAAACTAAGTTATCTAGAACTGTTCCGGTCGTCATAATTAATTCAAAGAAAATTCGGATAAGATAAAATCTTTTTATCATATTTTTCTAAAAATTAGAAATTTCATTAGATAGTATTTATATTTTTTCTGTGATTAATATTATTTTGTACTTACTTTATACAAATATCTCAGTCTTAGAAAAACATATATAATCTTTAAAAAGATAAAAACTATTTTAAAAAGTATCAAAATTATAAGAAAATGTGCTTAATGTTGCAATATAGAAAAAATAAGATAAAAGAAATTTGCCACCATCTGCAAACATTATCTATGCAAACAAAAGAAGCTTGTTTTTTAATTAAACTTCATGGAAATTTCATGGAAATTTGTTGATTTTTTTTTCAATAATGTACTTAAATTAATTTTAAATTTCTAAGTTTACACTCACAAAATATTACTTAATAATTAATTGACGTTTATGAAAATGCTATTTCACAAAATATACTTTAATTTCTCTGTCATATCTAAATAAAAAAATTTAATTTAAATTCTCTATATATATATATACGATTGTAAAATTTTACATTAAAATAAGAAAATAGTTTTTGAAAAAGAATTATATTTTTTTTATACTTTAATACTGGTTCTACCCAGTTCCACCAAAGAACCCGGTTGATATTCGTCGCAACGATGGACAGGTTCTCTGCAAGTTATATCTTTACCAAAAACGTTCCCAATAGTAAATTCCAGGATTTTGTGTATAGCATCATTCATATCGTTTTAGAACATAAGATTACATGTCTTGTACTTCCATATATTCTGAAAATTAAACTTTTTGATTCTGTGGTGTGTCCATATATCAAAACAGAGTTTCTTTTTTTTCTAATCATTTTCAACAGAATTATGCTGAATTCAGACTGCATTTCATTGATCACATTGCAAAACGTATAGTCTAGAAAGTATAGGTAATTTTAATAAAATACACATTTGTTATGTTTTAGTTATAGCATTTTATCCGAATTTATTGTAACAAATATATTATAGTAATAACATTTATGAATTTGTGTTGGCATTAGGTCCACGTCGGCGGCCAAAGGTTTGAACGACGTTGACAAACCTACGATTGTATTGAATGCGTCGCTTAGCTCGGCCAGTTTTCTTTTTGCTCTTCTCTTGCTTTTCAACCTAATACAACATATATTAATTTAATATATGAATATATATTATATTTCACATATACATTAATATTTTTTTCATCGTAAGTAATAAATCTGAAATATAAATTTATTTAAATAATCAAGAAGTATCTCTTTACCTTAGGTGTCTGAGCTTTTACTTTACCAGCACGTGCCAAAGAACCGTGAACCTTTCCTGAAAAGAAAAAAAGTATTTTATAATAAGTATTTATCAATCTGAATTTTGTGCTTTGTCTTTTATAATAAATACAATATTCTTTAAGAATTAAAATATGTTTTTCAAATATATTTATATAATACAATAGAGCCTATTTTGACTGTCTACATTAAAAACATTAAAATATAATTTAAATATACTACAAATCATTATTAAATGAATTTTCTTTTCTAGAAATTAGCTTACCTCCCGGTAAGGGTACAATCAACTCGAGTACATCTGATTGAAGTTCATTTACACAAGTTTCATCTGATAGCAAGCTTCCATTGCAATGAAGATGAAATTCATTTTCAATGCCTTGCAAACTCGCAATTCTTTCCTGTAAATTAAACTATTAGTATGTAATATAATCGAAATATTTTTTATTTTAATATTTATCATAAATTGAAACTGTTTAAAATGACAAGGCTATTGAAAGAGCCAACTGCAGAACTTGTTGCATAAATTAATTTATATAGTTTAATAATAATTACAATAATTATATTTATTATATAATTATAAAAAAAAATTGTAGTAAACTTCTCAAAAGCGAAAGCAAAATATAACTTTCTCTCTTATATAAATTTACATATTATTTTTGCATTAATGCTCATTCTAGCACTATAAAGTAAACAATGCTAGGTTATCATTTTAATGCTGCATCCTTGGACATTAATACCCAAAGACAAATTCAGATATTAAATTTTGTGTACTAAAGTAATACTATTGGGTCATCTAAAAAGTATCCGCAGTTTTTTGTCACTAGATGTGTTGACTATCAACACCATCTAGTGACAAAAAAACCGCGGATACTTTTTAGATGACCCAATATTTAAAAAAACTAATACCTTTATATCTTGTATGTTCTCATTATCTTGACATACAATGATAGTTGTTTCTTGTCCACGAATTTGCAGCTGCATGGTGCTTGTATATGCAGTACTTGTATGCCAAAAGCTCTACAATATAATTCAAAAATAATTAATAAAAATTAGTTTTAATATACTATAACTATAGAATATAGTTTTTATATCAATTAAATAAAAACTAGGATTGTTCGTGTTGCTCACACTTTTTGCACTCGGCATCTTCGCTTTCTCTCTTTTCAAAACCAAATATATATCTATCTCATTTTAAGTGTAAAAATACTTAGCTTTCATGCAATGCAAACAGACCTATTATTTCAATATAACGTATTCTATTTCTAACATTAATAAAAAAAAATCTTTGTAGCAAACGTCGTACGTCATATAAACATTTAATTTAAAAGGTTTGCTATCTAGTGTATATTTTTGGAACTTAAAGTGAGATAGATATTTGAGATAGATGTTTGAAGCGAGAAAGAAAGTTCTAGAACAGTCTAGTGCAGGAACAAAAAACAGATCATATTTTTGATATTTGGCGAAAGCAAGAAAAAAGATACAAGATTTTAGTACAGGATTCTAGCATAGGAATAAAAAACAGACATTGAGTGTTATGATGCCAATTTTATATATATATGTATATATATATATATATATATATATAGTGAATATTAAATTAATAGATGATTAATTTCATTATAAAACAAATTTTCTATGAAAATTTGTACGCATCTATTACAAAACAAGTATTTAGCTGAAGAAAGACAGATATCATGAAAAATGGCTAAAACTTTGCACAACACGCAAACGTGTTTTCTAGGTTAAAAATTCAGAGGCACATGCTGAACGACTTTTCCAGATTATAAAGGTTCTAACACAAAAGATTTAATAATAAGTCGTTAATATACAAGTATTAATAAAGCAAAATTAATAATTTTTAATCATCGTATTGCGCATAATCACTCAATATATCAAATATAAATCACACTCACCTTGCTAACACGGACGCAACAGAATCCAATCAAAGATGGAAAGATTAAAGAACGTTTCGTGCTTTCATAAATACAGTCAGTATTGGCTTCTGAACGCCACACTTAAAAGATCCAATTACCTACCGTTATATCTTATATTTTCCAAAAGTGAACAGTCGATTGGTCAAAGATTTTTGCGCGTTCTAAAATTCAATGAAGAAGGTGTTACATAAAGTCTCTGAACATATTTGGTAATTTATTTATCTTCTATTGGTATCATGGGTGCTCAGCAGCGCTCAAATAAGCGTTTGTAGTACACATAAGGATATGTACACAACTACACATTGAATATGTTCATTTTTCCTTCAGCTCCGTGGATTCCAGTGGATTCCGCAGATTTGAATTGCGATAGAAATTGATTTTTATAAGTGCAAAATTAAGCTAAATAGCCTCGGAAAATGTCGGTCAAACTAAATACAACTAGCTCGCCATCAGTTGAATTAAGCTCCTATCGTGATCAACATTTCAAGGTTTTTTTTTTAAATAATTAACCTCAAATATTATCTAGTGTATAATATTTCAATTTATTTATGTTTCTTATATGTATTTCTGTCTCTTACATTTACATAATTTGAAATTTTTAATTCTAATTGTCATAATCAACATTTGAAAAGCACTTAATTAGAAATAATTAATTATGGTATAATTGCATTCAATTGTATATTTATCTAATAAATACAGTTTTTTTTAATACTTTATAAATAACTGATTTATTCTTTTTCATTATATAGGGAACAAGAGCTGAACAGGACAGGCTACTAAGAAATTCCTGTACTTTATATGTTGGGAATCTGTCCTTTTATACGACGGAGGAGCAAATATACGAATTATTCTCCAAATGTGGAGACATAAGACGAATAATTATGGGTCTTGATAAATATAAGAAGACACCATGTGGCTTCTGTTTTATTGAGTACTACAATAGAGCCGATGCAGAAAGTTGCATGAGGTATATAAACGGAACTCGGTTAGATGATCGAATCATCAGAACTGACTGGGACGCGGGCTTTATCGAAGGCCGACAATATGGTCGTGGAAAAACAGGAGGACAAGTAATTATTTTTAATATCTTATGAAAGATTAATTTAAACATAAGATATATACATATATAGGTATGACATGTAATGTTTAATATTTTAATATTTTAGGTGAGGGACGAGTACCGTTCAGACTTTGATAGTGGACGAGGTGGTTACGGTAAAATAATACAACAGAAAGTAACATCGCTTTCTGACGGTGGATTTGGACGGTGAAAGTCCAAGTGTAAATATGTTTATATATTAAGCTTATTCTAAGTAATAGTAAAAGTAAGGAATAATTTGGTGAATTAGAAAATTTCGATACTTTGAATAAATGTTTTGCATCACAAACAAAGGAAATTTCAAATAAATTTTATTAAATTATACATATATTCACAATTTTTTTTTGTCATTCATCGATGTAACATCTTGTGAATAAGAAAAATAAAATTCATTTAGTATAGAATAAATATTGTTTTTCTTACTACTTAAACATTCTTTCTACTAAATTGTTATGCAATTATTATATAAGCATTTATAATAAATTTATGTTTAAAAATGTAGGAAGATGCCTTTCATTGTGGAATTTGTGAACTTATTATATTTTATATTTTTATACATAATAAATATCTTGATAACAAAACTTTAAGTTAAAAAAAGATATATGTACATGCTATACTAAAATATAAAAATATATATAAATCTTTGAAATTTGAAATTGCATACTAGTCTATCGTTATTACTAATATTTATTGTTTTATTTCTTTTTAGAATTAGATTTTGTAGAGGATATAATAGCATCGTTACTACTTTTCTGAGATAACCTTTGTTTGATTAAACTTAGAAAATCTGTATCACTTCCATTGCAATTTTTCAAATTATTTTCAATTCCTAGAGTTTTGCAAGTAATTCTTGAAGATGCATATTTTTCATTATTTTCCGAATTAGTTATATTACTTTCGTTTGAAATATTATTAGTTATAACAATGCAATTTTTCTTTCCATTAATTTCAGATATTTGTCTAATTTCTGACTGGTTGGCTATTTCATCATTAACATCACTTATAAAATTTTCTGTTTCTTTTATACTTGTTTCAGATTTCTCTACGGTTTCATCAAATGTTTCTTGATTTTCAATTTTTTGATTGCATACTTCCTTATTGAAAGACATATTTTCATCTTTACAATACTTTTGATTAGATTTTTCTACTAGAAATTCAACTGTACGAATTGAACCAATATCTTCCTCAGATGTATCTAGACAAAGAGTATTTTTGTTAACAACTCTACCTCCATGTAAAAAAGTAGAGACATTTTTGCGCCGCCACATTTTGGAAGTACTGGGTATAATCTGCTTGCGTCCCTCAAAACAAAATTCCTTTAAGTCAACATTGATAATTTCGCCTTTCAAAAAATGTAGATATTTCTTTAATCCCGTGTAAAAGTGCAATTTGTCCACCATTCTAGGGAAGTTAGCACACCGTGCGCTGCTTGACGGTGTCACCCAAATTGCAGTATCACCAATGCGTTCTGGTTGTAATCCAAAATAAAATTTGGACTTAGTAGTGATGTGAGCAAATACTTCATAGATACATTTACCATTGAATACTGCAATTTTGGGTTTATATAATTTCAACTTTTCTTCTACTACTTTAGAACCTTCTTTGAGTTCTGTTCGTTTGAGATCTACAGCAGATCTAGTGGGACGTTCAACGATATTTGTCAAACCAATACTATATTGCAAGAGTTTATAATCTTCTTCAAAACTGACAAATCTTGGTGTTAGACCAGATTCATGCAGTAGCTTATAAAAGTGATTACCAGGACCTGCATAGTATCTACCACGGTGTGCTGCCATTAAACTTGGATTGATTCCGACAAATACTAAATCCAGATTCATCTCCAGATAATCTTGTAATGTATACTTTTGGACTTCCTCTTCTGACAATCCATCGAATCTGTCTATTTTTTTCTTGGGTTGCTCCAAAACTTCTTTTGTTAATGGTCTTTTCTTGAGTTTGTTTAAGTCAAGTGGTGGCATGACATTCATAAGGCGAGAAAATACATGCAGAAATCGATCTGTAAATTTTCGTATTTCCAACATTGAAAAATTGTAAATTTTTTATAACAAATTATTTATGTCGGTTTAAAGAGCTTATCCTATATTTGTAATAAAATTAAAGATAAAAGTAATTCGTTTTCAAGTCATACTTAATAATAAAGTAATCATTATTTAACTCCACATTTTAATTCAAAAAGAATGTCATCAATCTGTTTAAAAAAGTTCATTGTGACATTACACAGAAATAAGTATTGATAAAAGAATGAGGTAAATCTATAGTAAATACACATTCTCTCGATATTGATCTATTAAAACTCACATATTTTATGTATCTCGAAAAAAATTCCGTTCCATTTTTTTAATAATTTCAATTGAATGCTTCGTATAAACATAACATTTTGTTCGAATACAGACAAATATATACAACAAAGTCGACAATAAACCGATACACGCGCGAATCAAAGTGAAAACGCCCTCATTTGGTCGAATCTTGAACCATTTTAAAACATTCGACATTATTGATGCTGGATAAAAAGGAATTTTAATCATTATTATTTAACTCATTTACCATAAGAATCTGGCGCAAATTTCGCTGAAATTATTTCACATTTTAGTGGAATATTAGCGAAATTTCAACATTTCAGAAAAATTTCAGTTTAATTTCTCCGATTTTTAGCTGACAAATTCATTTTCAACAAAATTTCAGAGAAATTTAGTTTAATTTCAGTGATTTTTCAATATGTTAACTAAAAAGTTTACTTTTAGTGAAATTTCAGCGAAATTTTTTCACCAGGGATATCACAGTAATCTTTCTTATTATCAAAGAACTTTTTTTATAATAAATTTTAAAAAAATTTTTTTATAATGAACTAAAAATGTGACAAATAAAGGAAATATTTTTTGCAATAATTTATATAAAATAAACTTCATTGTTGTTTTTATAATTACTATTAAAATAATTACTATTAAAATTTAACATACATTATGTCAGTATTTTATCAATATAAATTGTCGTGAACGAAGTTCGATAATAATTGTTGCACGGAGTTGATAGCAAACGGAAACGTTTCCTTGGGAACGAGCAAACACATTGGGAATTAAGTCTTCGTGAATGATTTTTCATTGAAATTTGAAATATTGCGAATTACGATCTTTTGTGTTGAGTGAAACTACATCGCGGTATGGCGAAAATTGATATTGACGTAAATCGTGTATTTTCTCCTTCTACCAGATTTACATTGGACGAATGGCATCATAATAATCAGTTCAGGTATCAATAAGTCATGCGTGTGACATTATGTAAAATTACGAAAAATCCAGCGAAAAAATTGCCAAGTTTTTTCTGGAAAACTCGTCAAGTTGTGCAATTTAAGATTTCAAACGTTGCTCTATTCCGGATGTAATTAAAGAGAAAGCAAAAAGTTTTTAACAGTAAAATACGCTCGCGCATCGTACATACATCCGCACTCATAATCTGACTTTTCTTTTTGTTTTGATATGAAACTGTAATTTTGATGAATTCAGATATCGATGTTCCGAGACTCAAAGAGAATTATCGGATCGGCTTTTAGCCGAAGCGATGCTCGCATGTGACTCTGCCAAGGAAATCGTAAAAGCTAATAAGGAGGAGACAGATCATAGACTGTTAGAAAAACTCAATGACATTGAATTTCGCAAAGGAGAATTGCTGAGTATAAGAAAAGAAATTGCTCTGGAAATCGATGCGTTGTCTGTATATAAAGAACGAATTATAAATGTACTGAAGTCTGTAAAAAGAAACGCTCTTGCAATTTGTGAAAGATGTCTCATTGCTAGGTTACTAATGTTTTTTAATTAAGTAATTTGTTAAGAAAATTTCATTTTTTTAAGCTAATAAAAGAATATTTCGTCACAGGAAATGTAGATTGAGCATTGATTTGGTTTACGATGATGTTGAAACAAATCTATTAAAAGAGTGTGACGTAATACAAGGAGCGGAAAATTTATTGGATCAAATATTAAAAAATACTTGCGAACAAATCCGTAAATTAAAAGCCACATTATATCACACTGATCATGATCTAAAGAATAAAGAAGACAATCTACATATCGATCGTCGCAACGTAACTTTAAAAGAAACTGATTTCAATTTGAGAATTTATCACGATACTTCGTCTCTCGACAAGTCGTGCGTAACGTTGTTAAAAAATATCAAGTATTGTATGTAATTTACATACATTATTATCGGAATACAGTTAACAATGTTTAACCTTTAAGCATACTCAGTAAGTGAGAATGAATTCAATTGAAAATGAATTAAAATTAATTATTTCAAATTGGTATTAAAAAATGCACCTTAGTGGAATTCGAACAACCTAGGACCTCTGGATTATGAATTTTCTACGTTACATGCTACTTCTTCAATTGGTAAATGTGTTATTTATTCTCTACTTCAATTACAACTAGCTAAACCAGTGCACAAAATTATATAGATATAATAAAAATATCATCATTTAATGGATATAATAAAATATAAACAATTTACATTATTAGAGACAATATTGGGTAAGTGTCGGATAATTTAATCTCGCTTGGCCGATGACGCTGTGATCAGCGTAATATTCGTGTTGGTGTTCGACTTGGTTTGCGAATGTTCACATCGATTCATTCATTTTACTTGTAATCAAAGAGAACATAGCTCAATTATTTTTACGTTATAACTTTTTTGAACTTAGTTGGATTAAAACGAAAAATGTCCTACTTATAGTTTTGAATAATTTAAGTAGCATTTATGGTCCATTTTTAAATATGAACTTTTTTTATTCAATTAGATTAAAAACTGCATTTCATATTTAGAATATTGAATTGAGCAGCATTCACGTTGCACAGAAATGGCTGATATTTTTAAATTTAACTGAATTAAAAAAATTGTACTTCTTACAATATTCTGAATTAAGTATTCACGATGTGCACAGAAAATAATAATAGCTAATATTATTTTTAGAAAGGCGTAGAGATATGCTCTATGTAATTTCTATAAATGAATAAAAATTCATTCAGGATTAAAAAAAAAACTCATTTTAACATTCATGAATTCATATTTCTGAAAATTTGAATATATTTTAATCCATTTCAATCCATTCTCGTTTGCTGGGCAGCAGTAAAAAATTCGCCTATTATTTTGCAATTTTCGCACGTTTAAAAAATTTTATTTTATTTTATTTTATTTTTTTTTTTAGTTATTCAATGAGCAGAATGTATAAAATCAGCACGTAAGACAACTTTAAGAAACTTTTAAAAATTCTTTAAGAAACATCAAGATAACATTAAGATAATTTACAAAAAACACTGAAAGATATTTTAAAGTTATCTTATGTGTTAATTTTACTCTCTTATTTAATGAAATTTAGAAATTTCATTAAATTAATTTCTTTAGAAATTAATATTTCGTTAACTACTGCGAAAATTGCAAAATGGCTCAAAACTTTTCCACTCAGTTTTCGATCAGGAATAGTGCCGCTATATGATTAGTGGGCGCTTTTTAAGATACACCCTATATATTGCTTTGTGATGTCTAGAACGATAAAGACGGATTTCTTTTATTCGCGTGCTGTCATTTATATCCGATAATAATGATCTAAGAAAAAGTGTTCAAGAAAAATAAGATATTTGCATAAGATAAATTAGTAATTATTTTATTTACGTATCTACAACTGCTTTATGATATAAAAAACAAAGGAGGATTTTTTTTTATACGTATAAATACATATTAGTTTTTACACGTTGCCGTTTTATGTTCGATAATGACTCAGATAGCACACAATATTTGTAAAATATTTATAAAATATTATAATTATTTAAAATGTTAATTAAAATAAATTAAAATAATTGTCATAATTGTTTTATTTGTGAATAATTAATTTATAAGACTTATTTTAAATATTTTGTAAATATTTTCATGGTCTTTGCATAATTAGATTGCACAAATTATAAACATTTATTATAAATATTATAAAATATTTATTAAACGTTGTAGTAAATTCTATGAAAATACTTAATAAGATATTATCATCCAAGTAAAAAATACTTATTAGAAATATTTATTCATATTTATCATAAGTATAATATTATACGTAAAATATTTAGTCTATATTTTAATAATATTTCTAATAAAGCTTTATATAAAATGTGTATAAAATATTTATATAACACTAGTAACATTTCCAAAAATAAATAATAATAAATATTTATCATAAACATTCTGTGCTATCTGGGAATCTAAATATATTAAAGAAAAATAAAATGTTTGCATAAGATCAACTTAGCAAAATTATCTTATTTACATATCTATGATATATGTATATAATTTTAATTGCATGAAATATTCAAGAATACAGAAGTCATATACAAAAGGACTGTTAAACATAGGGTAGTAATGTTAAATGAATGGGAACTCCAAACAAACAGCAATGTTATTGATGCAAATAAAGAAATAAATAGTGCAAAGCAATTGCGATGTTACATTGATACGATAATTAAGCAAACGATTGATGAATTAAATAACCAGAAGAATGTCACAAATGAAGCTTTCAGACAACGTATTGAACAGACTCGAGAAGCCAAAACGAAACTGGAACTTCAGCACTCGGAGGTGAGTAAAAAAAATGACGTAATAATTTACAAAAAACGTAAAAAACGATTGTGGTTATAATTTCAAAAATATGAAAAGAAAGAGCATAAAGAACCACAGCACAAGTTGTAGTTAGTGATATTTAATTATTCTTGCATTACGAATTACAATAAAAACATTAAACGTTTCGGCCACAATCTGGTCATCTTCAGTAAAATTAATAATATTCTTAAGACGCAGAGTTACATCAAGTTGGAATAAAATTCCACCGTCGTGTGTTATAATTGTAAAAATCATGTTTGCATCTATGCGACGCTGCTTCGTATAATAATGTTAGAACATCAGAAGTCATATAGTGAAAAGTGTAGAACGAGAATTTCCAGATTCTAATTTACAATAATTTATTTTATTATTAATATCTTTTAAAACGGAGTATAAAACAAAAGAAACATTACCTGTTTTACAGCAAAAATAAATCGATGAATTTCAAGTATAATCATTGTACAGATAGAAATTTGTCGTGACATTATGTGTTGGTCGTTGTTATCACATATTTTTCCGCTGTTTACATCCATGAGTCAAATAGTTCAGAAAGTTCTAGAATTATTTATTAAGTGCAAAAGAGATTTTTCTTTAAAAGAGGAAGATAAACATCAGGCAAACCTTCAGTATCACTTTGTTTATTAATCTCATTTATTTGGTTTTTAATATGTATCATTTCTGAAATTCTTCGTTTCATCAATGATTGTTCTGTATCTAAAATTTTTATGTTATTCCAATCAAACTCATGCATTTCATTCACACGGTGACGTGAAACAACTGATATCTCAGAAGTAGATTTCTTAATATCAGTCTTGTGTTCTTTAATACGAGTTTTTAATTTTCTCTTAGTTTGGTCAACATACGACGATTCGCAATTCAAACAATTAATTTTATAAACTACCCCACAATGGTCATCCTTAAGCAAGGGATCTTTTCCTGTTTTTATAATTTATTTAATTTATTCATCGGTTTATAAGCTATATTAAAATCATGAATATAAGCAAGTTTTTTGAATTTTTCAGAAATCTTGCTTAAATATGGTATCGCGAAAAATTTTTTCTTATTGGAATCATATTCATTGTTATTTCCTTCGCGATTTTTATCTGGATTAGTTCTATTTTCCAAAGTTTTTATTCTATTAATTGTCGAAAATACGAATTTGAGAGGATAGCCATTATTGAGAAGAATTGTGAATTAATTCCGAAATGTTCTTTTCATGAAATTTGGGATGGGACAACAGTAAAATTCTATCAAGCTGCTAATCCAGATAAAAATCGCGAAGGTACAGAACAATCATTGAAACGAAGAATTTCAGAAATGATATATTAAAAACCAAATAAGTGGGATCAATAAACAAAGTGATACTGAAGGTTTGCCTGATGTTTATCTTCCTCTTCTAAAGAAAAATCTCTTTTGCACTTAATAAATAATTCTAGAACTTTCTGAACTATTTGACTCATGGATGTAAACAGCGGAAAAATATGTGATAACAACGACCAACACATAATGTCACGACAAATTTCTATCTGTACAATGATTATACTTGAAATTCATCGATTTATTTTTGCTGTAAAACAGATAATGTTTCTTTTGTTTTATACTCCGTTTTAAAAGATATTAATAATAAAATAAATTATTGTAAATTAGAATCTGGAAATTCTCGTTCTACACTTTTCACTATATGACTTCTGATATTCTAACATTATTATACGAAGCAGCGTCGCATAGATGCAAACACGATTTTTACAATTATAACACACGACGGTTGAATTTTATTTCAACTTGTTGTAACTGTGTCTTAAGAATATTATTTTACTGAAGATGGCCAGATTGTGGCCGAAACGTTTAATGTTTTTATTGTAATTCGTAATGCAAGAATAATTAAATATCACTAACTACAACTTGTGCTGTAGTTCTTTATGCTCTTTCTTTTCATATTTTTGTAATAATTTACCTTTGGCACAAATCTCGATATTAATTAATTATTAATTTAAGATTTCATCAAATGACAAGTTTATGTATTTCTGTTTTCGAAATCTATGATAAAATGTTGATGTTATGAAAGAAAAATATTTCCGATTAATTTTTGATATGTAGAAAAAGTTGAATAATCAAGGAAAAAGTTGAATAATCAAGGAAAATGATGCGATTTTATATCTTAACTCATAAGTTTTGCTATTACTTATTTTGTAATTTTATTAGAATTTATTTGTAGATAATAAAACAAGTTACCGCGATGTCAAGCAATATCACAAGCATAAAGAAGTCGATAGCTGAGAAAGAAGGATATATGGCTCTGGCTCATACAAGATTAGGTCATCGATGTCAACGTCCAGGAATTGAACATGCTCAGGATTTAGTCGAAGTCAATCTCGTGAAGGAGATACACGAGTTACGAAATGTCGTGGCAAATTTGCAGCGAATGCTTTGCGCGGTTTGTGACATTCATTTTGCGTTTATACAGAATTCTAATTATAGAATTCCATTCGCAAAACCGATGTAATAAATTTTGCGCAAATAGTAATCTTTTATTATTAATATGTATTACAGGCAGAGACATCGCTACGTTATTTGCTCAAAACGCAAATTCAACTCGAAGAAGATATCAATGTGAAGATAAATACTTTGAAAATTGATGAGGTTGACTGCATGACTTTACGTCAAAGTATAGACTATCGCGCGTATTGAAATACTAATATTATAAAACACTTATATTCACAATTTATATTTATTACAACATTATTATTTATGATTTCTTCATCCTTTTCATATCTTAAATATAATATATTACAATAATTCTTTGGATCTATCAAAATTTTAGTGACTTACATACATTTTATATACATAAATAATAACATAATTAAATTAAAAGTAAAATAAAGATAAATAAAATAAAGTCCTCAAGGCTCTTCTTTCACTATAATCTCTCACAATAAATTATTAAAATGTATGTAAAATTATTTTAGTCTGAAAAGAAAAAACTCATACTTCTATAAATATAATCAAACTTCTATTATAATATAAAAAACTTATATATAAAAATTTATAGTTTGCTGTAAATCAGTTTTGACAACAAATGTCTTATACATTTATGTATAAGGAATTATGAATATAAAAATGTCTAATGATGTCACGAAAATTTGTGAATATTTCGCGAAAAGCGAAACAATCAATTAAAGTTGTTATGAAATGGGGTCATGTACCATTGTCGCTTCTTTCTGCACTTTTTGTTGGTGTAGTTGCAGTTCTGCGTAGTTACTCTCTCTTCTATTTCTCCCTCTCCTCATCGAAATAAAGCAAAAACCACAACGAATAGGCGAACAGATAATTTCAAGAACCGGTATACATGTGAAAGGAAGGAGGGAAGACGCTTTCATGAACGGCCAACTGACTTACCGTTGCAATTTCATTTTAGTCCGCTAACAGGAATCGAATCGGTCAGTGGACGAGTTTAAGTGCTTTTGTTCCGTTGTTCTACACAGAATTTTATCTTCTCTGTGGAATTTTCTCATACTTATTAAATCGTCAGAGACGTCACACGGTGCAATCATTCGCAAGAATTATTCGATATATATGTGCAATGAGCGCACTATAAAACGTGATTTTGCGATTGTGAATTGTTTAGATATAGCTAATACTAAAATATAAAAATGACAAATATCAAGAAAGTTTTTACGAAGAAAATTTTAATTTCTTAATTTTATATGTTAGTCTTTGCATAACATTAATTAAAAGTTAAATTAATCAAACGAATCGTAATTGGATAATTTAATATATCTCTTTTGTAAAAATAATTTTTATGAAATTATTCTGTGTTTTTCAACGTTATTATACATGGCGGATACTATATCGAAGATGTCAATTAATCACAATAATGTAATAAACGTTACACACATGGACAAAGATTGTGTAAGTATTTTCACAGTGTACATTTATTTTCGAATACATTTTTATTTATTTATTTGGATTGTATGTACAAATATATAGATAAAATAGCGAGACAAGCAATTTAAACACTGCTTAATGTATTCATATTTTAAACATAAATATTCTTTCCCATTTTTGCATTTTTATTAAAATTCATTAAAATATAATCACATAATTATTAATTGTAATAAATAAAGCATAATTCAAAGAATAATTGTTTCAGATATATTTACAGATAAATATCTATTTAAAAAAATTACACATACGAAAAAACATTTATAGAATTTGACTATATCTTTGAAATATTAAAAATTTTTAATATCCGGGAAAAAATGTTTTATATATAATTATATAAAAAATTGATATATTTTATACACACACAATATTATTATATTATACAATTATATATAATTAATTATATATAAAATATTTGGTCGGAGAAAAAGTTCTGCGGAATTTTGTTGGCTTAAAATTATATACAGAATATATTCGTTGCATAATTTTTGACTATCTGACGTAAAAGCTTAAAGTTTTTCTTAAAAATTCATTTTTAAAAAATATTTCTATTTTTGTTACACGGATTAAATAAAAGAGCATTCTGATTTTGATTGTTCATAATTCTATTAAAAATCATCGCACCATAATTAATAAAATAGATTTTTAAAGCTGAAACGTTGCTCTATCAAATAATTGCCAATTTTGTTTAAAAATAGAATATATGTAGATTTGAGTTAAAAATGTGATATTCATTTTTCATTACGCAATGGTTATATATAAGGATAGTAATATCACATTTTTAACTCAAATTTCTATATATTTTACATTTAAAAAATTAGCATAGTAGCTCTATTCAATGTATTAACTTCAAAAAAAATTTTTTTTTTTTTAATTGCAGTATGATAATTTTTAATGGAGTAATGAGCGATCAAAATCAGAATGCTCCGTTTTACTTGACTTGCGAATAACTCAATAATAAAAAATCGTAATAATAAAACATAAAAAAACATTAAAATAATAAAACATTAAAAAAAAAATTATTTTGTAAGTAAAACTTCAAACTTTCACGATACAGATAGTCGAAAACTTTCGCAATTTTTTTGGCACGTGACACCCACAAAGTAAGAAAAAAAATTTTTCTTTTTTTCAGCTCGTAATTTTCTATATATAAAAATTACAAAATTCACATAAATTCAAAATATATAGTAACCATTAGAAAATAAAGATTTCAAGCTTTGAAAACCTTTTTAATTTTAAATTTTGATCATTTTTAACGAAGATATTATATATATAACTTTGAGCTATTATAACAAAATACTGCAAAACTTTTCCTCCGACTCAATATATCTATTTACATAATATTTTTTTCCGGATATCCACGACAAATTTTAGTTGTCTAAATTTGTTGTCTCGTAATAAGTTAAATCTCGTAAAAGTAGTAACCAGTATTTACCACATCTTTCAATTTCTTTCATTTTCTTTCATTTTATATTAAGTAATAATTTTTGAACGATTTCTTACGATTGCATTAATCTCTGTTCTAAATAAACAAACTATTTTAATACTTGATTTGATATTTAATCAAACACAGATACAACTAATAAATTGACGTGATTTCATTCTAGGAAACAAATTATTCTTGAAGATTAGCTTTAAAAATGTGTACATATATGTAAAATAAGCTAGACGACGTACACAAAGCAAATAGAACATATGTTTTGTTTATTAAAAATTGAGAAATACTTTTTTTCTTGATCTTTTTTTCTTTTGATGACACACATATTATGTCTTACATAGATAATAAAATTGCTGCAACAAAAAATTTATTAGCTTATGTACTATTATAAAATATTAATAGAAGTTAACATATGTATATATACTGTAAGAAATCGCTATAAATATAAAATATATTATCATGCAAATATATAAATTAATATTAAACATAATTAAAAGTTAAAGGCATATTGTGCAAAGGAAATTTTGGAACAAAATTTATTAGAAAATTATGCATTTTTAAGTGTTTCTCTTGCTATAATCATTGTGACGCATTTTTTTTATAGCGTTTAAAATATATAGCTATTAAGTTTAGATATCAATTATAATTATTTTCCGCTGAATCATGATTAAAACCACAGTGAAGTGATTTTTATGTAATCAGATCATGACCCTGCATATATTAACTTCCGTGGGACAATTTGAGTATATTGAATACATTGAAATAGAAACAATATTATCAGCTTCTATAACTTATAATTTTACTGTTTATTTTATTTATATACATATATATATATATATATATTAGGTGTTGGAATTAATTCGTAGCGTTTTTTAATGAAAGAATGTTATTTATTTCACATGAGCATTAAAAAATACATTAATGAAAGTACTTCCCATTTTTACAAGTGATGGGAAGTACTTTCATATATAATTAATTATATATGAAAGTACTTCCCATCACTTGTAAAACGCTACGAATTAATTCCAACACCTAATATATATATATATATATAATTTGTATTATATATATAATAATAAAATGATAAAATCATAAGTTATAGAAGCTGATAATATTATACATTCTATTTCGATGTATTAAATATACTTAAATTTCAAATATCTATGATATATTAGTAAATATTGAATTAATATTTAATTACTTTTATATACATGTGGACGTTTCACTTAATCAATATATACTTTTTCGAAATTAAACCAAGTATGAAAGTATGGCTTTTCATAGTAATATAATAATAATATAAGAGAACGTATTTTTACGAAAACAAAAAAGTACAATACACATACCAAGGTACATATATACGTTAGAACATGAAAATCAAAATCAAATCCTATTATTAATCATTATTTAAAAAATACCGTTTTTCACCACGAGGTAGCAGTATCGTCGTATTATTGATTATAGTATATACGGAATATGGAGACCTGGAGGTTTCCATTAAGTGAAATTTGCTACAAACTGTCCTCCAAATTATATAGTCTTCAAGTAACCTTTTATACATTCGTGCGGATAAGATATGTCAGTCGTCAAGTAACTCAATATCGTGAAGGTAGCAACATTCTCGATGGCGATTCGAGCGTGACGTATTTCACGCGCGGCAAACACGCGATTTAAAAGAATCGTGCAAAAATGCGTGCTAGCTCCGTTTAAGACACATGCTGCGTGGAAATACGGTTCTATCTTTGTAGTAAGTATAATGTGCCAATAATTCAGTACGATTCGTTTGATCTGGAAATGCTCTTAACTGAAAATGACAAGCGTTAACGGTGCAGAATACACGGACTTATCGATAGCGAAAATTCGTCAGCTTCTAACAAGCAACGTTAGATGGTGCCATACATCTTATTTTGACATTCGGATCTCGTCAAGCGTTCTTAGAAAGCTGTGTCAAATATCGAAGATTAAAAACATAGTTAATTAGAAGCGAAATATTAAATTAGTATTTATGTATTTGTAACGAAAAAAAAAATGGTATTCGAACAAAGGAAAATTCCCTTAAAATTCGACAAAGGAAAAGATCTACGTACAAAAAGAAATGTGAGAACTTGAGATACTCGAATTCGTACACGGTATATACATATATTTATATCTTTTAAAATATGTAATTCGTACATTTTTTACTAGATTTAACGGTCTAAATAAACCTGAAAGGCGATAGATATTAATTAATTATCTTATTATTGGATTGCAGTTTAGCATTTTTATAAAGGAAAGTAACAGGTACGGCAAGTAACAGTACAATATTGGCGTGTAAAATCAGATTATTTTAGCCTAACTGGGTCATATTCTGTTAAAAATATAGTTAATAGGAGAAACTAAATTGTTAGAAAGTAGTTGGCTAAGTTAGAAACTCTGCAGTGTGCTCTAGTCAGTCAACGACTGGAAAATTTGAAAAGCTAAGAATATTTCAAATCACAGTAGAAAGAAAAATATTTGACATGTTTTTTTACAAGTCTCAAATCTTTCGTAATCTATCTTGATAATCGAAGACTTAATTATATTATAAAGATAAGATGTCAACTCTTGTTTGCTGATGTTACAAAAATATATAAAAGGATATATATAAAAAGATACATATAAAGAGATAAAAAAAATTTCACGTCAGTCTTATGTATTCGACTGAATAATTAATTTTGTTCTACTGATTTCATTCTATGTGTTATGTTATAGAAAACACATACACAACTCTTAAATTCACAGTCTCTTATCATGTGATAATGATATCATGTGATTTACAAGTTGAAAGGTCATATAAGGGAGTTTTCTAACAAAAGTACAAATCGACACAAAACAAGAGTCATTCCATTTCTTTGTTTCTTACTGATTATTGAACAAGAACAGAATAACTCTTGTGTTAATTTGTGTCTGTTGCTGGAAAGACTCTCAAGTGCATTCTGAAATTCAATAGTTGGAAATTGTTACATAAAGTTAGATAAGATCTGTCGCTTTTTTCCGTGTAATTACTCTTGAAATTATTCACAAAGATCACGTTACAGGATATCGAGCGTGGCGAGACCCGGTTTGTAGGAATATCCCCGGTGTCGGCGTCGACGTCCACGTCGGTCTCGGCGTTGGCATCGGCGCCGACACCGCTACATGAGAGCAGCGCCAATAAATGTGATATCTCGAGGGCAACGTCCGGAGTGGGACACATAGGTACGAACGTACCATCAGGTACGCATCAGGACGTCCAGACAACACGTACCAGCGTGAGCGCGGCGTTGAGATCAGAGAGGGATCTCAATGCGAGTACAAGTCGTTGGAAAAAGGTCGGCCGGTTTCTGCAACGTCTCACTCTCATTATGTTGCTGCTGGTAGTCGCAGTTGTAGCACTGGCCGCAATAGTCATCTACATGGGTCCGATCTATCTCGTGCAATTGCTCATAGTGATTTCCGTTGCCTACTTTGTCGCCGGTGGTCGCATGAGATGGTTCTACGTTGCCCTGAAGACAATATCACGGGATTGCAAGTGAGTCAAGGAAAATTTCTTTTTTATATACTTGTTTTCCCAATTGTTGATTAGTTGTTTGTTGTATAAGTCTGTTATATAAAGAATTAATCACGCATCATTAAAAAGTGAGAATCTATTCAACGATTTTAATTATATTATTCATTTAACTGATAATATACCTTTTTATTTGAGATAAAGATTTACTTATATAATGTTAATCAATGTATCAAAGCATAAAGATTATAGCCTTGTATTTTTATAATTGTACATAACAATAAATCTTATTTGCGATGACATTTTAATCGTTAAGACGTCGGATAATCTTATCGAAGGTCACGCCATTGGAGATCTGTAGTGAAAGGAAAAATAAAAAAACCCAGTCGTGAATTTCCTATATCGCTACATAGCTTTAGTGACAGGAACCGAACATTGGCGTAACTCTCTGTTTTCAAATTTCCTTATATTTCGACATCCCTTAATGTACACAAGATATAAAGTGTTTGTGCTGTACGTTTATTAAATTGATTTTTACAACGCATCATTACATACAGATTTTTTTTCACCGTTTCCATAGTTTCCAAAAACCCTTAAGAATTCGCGCACTTAATTGAATTTAACTAGACTGAGCAGCTTTGTTTTTGTTTTTACATTCTTTTTTTTACAAAATATATGAGAGAGTTAATCTCACACAAAATTTTTATTATTAAACTTCGTCTGGGAATAATGTCTGGGAATATCACTTGCTGATTTATGCACAATTCAATCGGATGTACGTACGACTGTCCGTTTCTATCAATGTACATTTTAGCTTTAATCTTAATTTAATTCACTCTTCATTTTTTTCTAATCCTTGCAATACTAAAATGAAATGAAGAATTAGTTAGACCGAAATTGAAGTTAATCTATATTGATTGGAAACGAGCAGTAGTCCATTTGAAGACAAAGAGAATCGTATATGTAAATTTTGTGAATACATAAACAAAAAATATAATACAAAAAAATTTTATTTTTGTTTTTTGTAATAGTTCTTTTTTTATTATAATTTAATTATAAATTATTTGATTATATTATTTGACTATAACTTATTATTTGACTATAAATTTATTGATGATAAATTATAATATATTTTTTCTTTACTTTGCTCACAGAATTTAAAATGTATATATTATAGATGTACACAAATAAAATGTATATAGGTAATTCATAAAAAAGTTTACATCGTTACAGAAATTTACATAAATAAAATTTAATAGAAATTTATATCTTTAAAGAATTACATTAAAGAAAAAACATATTTATTTACAGATTTAAAATGGAAGGCAATTTTTCTTTTACGTAAATATAAATAGAAGTAATTAGAAGTAATTTTATCTTATGAGTATATTATAGATTTTTATTAATTTTTTAAACATATTATGGTGGAATAGAAGATACGCGCGAAAAATTATCGGTGTTGTAAAATGTTCTCTAACTTTCACCGGAAACTAGATATACAAGGCATATTAAAAATTAAAGCAAGAAAATGGCAGAGTAGAAGTAAATCGGAAAGTAAAGCGCAGTTAGTCGAAGTAAAAAAAGAGTAAAAAGTTTATTTCAGCTTGTAATATCTTTTTACTTTACTTTTTTTACATATAAAAAGAGGCAGAAATTGAAGCAAAGGTCATAGCGTTTATAGTCTCAATTGTTATGATAATTACAATTGTATCGATACATATTTTTGCTCTCAAATAAATTTTAAAGTTCATTTACGCACAAGTTTTGTGAACTTTGATACGAATATAACAAGAGTTTGCGTGTATAAACATGGATACATTTAATGAATATAATTATCATACTTGTAAAACATAATTATCGTAATACAGAAAAAACTGTTTAATTTCTTTTTAAAATATTCTGTTAAATAAACGTTGTTTAACGTTGTTTATTTGCATACTATAACTTTTCTTTCATCTATGCTAACATGTATTATTTTTATTAAAATATCGAGATACTTACTTTTTCAAGATGTTTATTTTATAACAGTGTTCACAAGAAATGAAAAGAAAAAAATGTGACGTTTTCTTTTTCTTTTTATTTATTATGTACAATATGTTAATATTTTATAACGATTAAATTTTCAATGAATTCTTAATCTCAAGCAGAATAAGTTACGATAATGTTAAAATAACATTAAAATAAATCGGAAATGATTGAAAAATGACTTTTAATGATCATTTTGGAGTCATTTTGACATAATTTTGATATCATAATGACTTGTTCTGCTTGGGATCTCACAAAAAAGTTTATTGAGCCTTAATGATAAAAAGTCTGAAAAAAATCATATTAGGTGTTGGAATTAATTCGTAGCGTTTTTTAATGAAAGAATGTTATTTATTTCACATGAGCATTAAAAAATACATTAATGAAAGTACTTCCCATCACTTGTAAAACGCTACGAATTAATTCCAACACCTAATAAAAATAAAAAGTTTGTAATATAATATGTATTTTACTTTCGTCTCGCTTCATTCTGGAGTAAACATACCGAGAAATATGTTTCGCATGTTTGCAGTGATTTGAGTCTTTGAACATACATTTTTTCATTGTTCTAATTTATGACCGTGATTATAGATCTGACTGTTGTCATGGTCATGGCCGTGGTTGAAATCTAGGTTGCAGTCATGGTCATGATTAAAATCATATTCAATGCCTTTCGCAATTTACAATATGAAAAGTTAAAGAAAATTGGTTATGGTCTAATTATTTAAATGATCAATTCATATTATTTTAATAAGACAACAATATTATTAAATGTATTATTAGAAGATAAACATGTATGTAGACGTGCCAAAGCATGAGACTAATGTAAAAGATTTAAGAGTGAAAACAAAAAGAGTTTGTTTTATGAACGTATGCTTGAAAAGTACAATAATATAATAACAAAAAATAATTTAAATCAGACTCTCAAATTTTAAAATAATAAATAACAATAAGATTAAGACTAATGAGAATTACAAAGAAATTGGGTAAAATAGGGCAATAGGAATCAGGCACGGTAATTGCACAAAACAAACAATGTGAATATAACACAAATCTCTTTATTAGATAACCGCTAGCGAGTTATCTAAGAAATACTTAAGCGTATCTATTTCTGCACTAACTTTCTCATTAGCCTTAATCTTATTTATCATAATAAAATAAAATGTGGAATATTCTTTTCTTCCTCTTTCTTATAACTTGTTAACTGTTCTCCCACAGTACTGCTAAGTGAACGTAGCATCCTCTTTTCTTGACCTCGAGAACATATAACGGAATTTCTTAGTTGGCCATTCAATGTAATTGTCCATATCGACAAAAATACATTTATAAAACACTATGCGTATTTTAAAAATTTATTATTGAGAATTTATTATTGAGCCAATCAAGAATTATAGAATAAATATAATGCAACATATCAAATAAAATCATACAGACATTATAAATATCTCAAATTTATATCATCTTTTATATCTAAATAAAATTTGATATAAAATAATTAAACTCTTTCAGTGGATATATTGCTTTTTCATTTCAAACATTATTAACATATAAACTTTAAGAGTTATTTTTAAGCAATAGACAAAATAACATATCTTCTTGAATATATTCTCTTGATCACAAGAATGAATATTTCAATTGTGAAACTTTTTCTCGAGCACTTTTCGTTTTTTTTCCAGAGGACTTATAGGATATATTAGAATGTTGTGGTCAGCACACGGTCACGGAAGAAAAAACAGAAATGTCGCCGATATATTTAGACAACATGTTAATCGTTATCCTAATAAAATCTGCTTTATATTTGAAGATAAAGAATGGACTTTTCAACAGGTAGCGCTTATTTTACAGAAAAACACTATTTTTATTTGTAGACTATATTTTATTCAATAAAGACACTTTAAATTTAATTGATACTTCCCAAAGAGATTTAAGTATGTATGTATGTATTTTATTTATATATATATAAATATAAATAAAATATATATTTTATATAATTCTTTTCCACGCTTTACTCAAAGATTTTTATCAAAGCACAATTTGTTAATTATTTTAATTATATATAAATACATTATTAATTATTTTAATTATGTATAAATACATAAATCGTCATTGTAATATTCTATGTAATGTTTCACAACTTGCAATGTCAATTTTAATTTTTAATAACTGATTTTCTGGCTTCGTTCGGATATAAAGTCTTTTGTCACATCTGTACTTTAAGTATACTAAGTATATAAGTGTATTAAGTATACTATATAATTGTATATGATTCTATGATCGATAGTCATAATTGGTTTTTATATTTAAGACCGTATTTAATGTGTACATTTTTGTCAAAAGGTCATAGGTCGGTTACAAAACATATTAACATTTTAATAAGCACATTACATAAAATGATCGTAAGATAAGAACAGACTGCGTATGAATTTTAATGAATTAATATTTTATAAACAGATAGAAGATTTTAGTAACAAAATTGCGACGATATTTAAAACACATGGTTATAAAAAAGGAGATGCAATTGCTTTATTGTTGGAGAATCGACCGGAATTTATTGCGATTTGGTTAGGTTTAAATAAACTCGGTGTGGTAACTTCTTTGATTAATAACAATTTGCGTAAGAGCAGTCTCTTGCATTGCATCAATATTGCAAAGTGTCAAGCACTTATATATGGCACCGAGTTTTTTGACGGTAAGAATACTAATCAATAATTATTATTTAATAATGAAATAAAATTTATTTCAATTTATTTACAGAGAAAAAATTTGTTTGTTTCTTTCTTTACAATTATTATCTATTTTAGAACCGAAGAATACAAAAATCACGTCTAAACGTAGAATTGATTTTTTTCATTAATCGTTCCTCTTGAACAGTTTTTCAGATATTTCGATAATTATTAATTCTAATGAAAGCTATTAATTCTAGCTGTAACAGACATCGCCTCGTCATTAGATGCTAAGTTAACGTTGTACAGATTCGGAAATCACCCGAATACAATGTCAGTTGGATTAAAAGAGAAAGATTTGAATACCTTATTGTTGGACACACCGGCTGCACCACTAGGAGTACAAGAAAAAAGTGGTTATCACGATAAACTTTTGTACATTTACACTAGTGGTACTACAGGTCTTCCTAAGGCAGCTGTTATTACAAACTCAAGGTAGATATGTTACACATAAGTTTTGGCTTTTTTTCTATAAAAAAGTTATAGAGTTTATGATGTGTTTCAAAAAGAATTTTGACTATGTAGAAAATAGTTATTAATAGTATTTCCATACAGAAGAGAGCGCTATCTTAAATTTTGTTAAGAAAATATTTTGAAAAGAAAAAAACGAAAAGATTTCTAAAAGAATTTTTTTAAACTCACGCAAACTTGTAAAATTTCTCTCTAAAATTTCCGAAAACTTTTCAAAATTACAAAATAAAATGATAATTTTACAGAGAATGAAACAGATAATATATATCATATACCTATATATCATATACCTTTTGCAGATATATCTTTATTACGAGTTCAGTACGTTATATGGGAACTTTGCGTGATTCTGATAGAATATATACATCTTTGCCTTTATATCATACAGCGGGTGGAATAATGGCTGTGGGACTAGCCTTAATATACGGACATACGACAGTGATTAGGAAGAAATTTAGTGCTAGCGCATATTTTGCTGACTGTATTAAATACAAATGCACTGTAAGTATAAGTTTCTATTAGTTTAATTGCTTGTCAATCTTATTGTTAGATGTTAGATGAGATAGTTTTTGATAATTTATTCTACACAACTTAATAGATATTCTTTATATTTTTATTTGATGAAATGAATTGTATTGTTCTCTTTTTGCTTTGATTTTTGTTACATACTAATAAGACTGAAGTTGCATAAGTTATATCATTTATATCTTAGATAAAATTTTGGAAAATATTAGGTTGGTCAATATATAGGGGAAATGTGTCGATATATTCTGGCAGTTCCATCTAAAAAAGAGGACCAGGAACATAATATTAGATTAATTTTCGGCAACGGATTAAGACCGCAGATATGGGACGAATTTGTAAAACGATTCAAAATTCCACAAGTGCTCGAATTTTACGGTGCAACTGAAGGCAATGCTAATGTCAGTAAGTACAAAATACTTAGTTTAATATGCTCTTTGTACGTAAGTATACATAAAATATTATATGAATATAATTATATCAATTCACTTGTTATTCAATATTGTTTCAATCTTAACAAAACAATTTTTATCAGATTTTACATAAGCCATAATGTTGAGTATTAATGTTATTTTTATAATATATGAGTTTTAAAAAAAGTAGAACTATAGAAGCATTTAAAAAAAATGTTTTCAGTGAACATCGACAACAAAATGGGAGCAATAGGTTTTTTTTCAAGAATTATTCCATCGGTATATCCCGTATCTCTGATTAAAGTAGATGAGGATGGAGAACCTATACGCAACTCTAAAGGATTGTGTCAAGTCTGTAAACCAAGTAAGCTGACTGGACAAGATTAATTAATTTAATATTAATTAATATTTAAAATTCTGGCGAAAATGCATCATATAGATACATTTACATACATAAATAATATATATAATGGATATTTTTGCCATTTGTTAAAATTTTGAACACTATATAAAATATACTGTATGAATTTTAATCAATAAGATTATAATATTGTATTTCAACAAATATATTAAAAATTAGAGAATTGAGGTCGTTTGAAAATCGGGAATAATCAAAGCGGACGGTGTGTGCGCTCTCTTTCTCTCTCTCTCGCTCAATTTTCAGATTATTTTATACTAAATATTAAGTGGAAATATGATATTTAATCTAATTTTATTTGCTATCTAACCTTTTAGTAATTATTATTACATGTAACAATTTTAAAATAGAAGAGTAATCTTTCCTTATGACTTCAGATAAATAAGATTTTGTCAATCAATATAATTGCTCGCATTATTTTTTCTAATCTTTTAAAACTTAATCGTTAACATAAATCAAATCTTTCATTTAATAGATGAACCTGGTGCGTTTATTGGAAAGATCTCGCCAAATAATCCAACCAGGGCATTTTTAGGATACGTGGACAAAAAAGCATCTGAGAAAAAAGTGATTCATAATGTTTTTACAAAAGGCGATTCTGCCTTTTTATCAGGTATGTATAAAAAATTTAATATCTATTATTTATTAAGTATATTAAAACGCTAACTTGCAACTATTTGGAATATAATTATTTCAAACATATTTCTATTAATTTAGATTGTTTAAGAAAAAAAGAAAGTCATTCGTACATGTATTACGAGCTGTTCAATTATATCTATAATACAGAACTATTTGTTAAAATTGAGTTAAACAATTTTGTGAATTTGATTGTAATTTTATTTAGGAGACATTCTTGTTGCTGATGAATGTGGCTATTTATACTTCAAGGACAGAACAGGAGATACATTTAGATGGAAAGGAGAAAATGTATCGACTTCCGAAATTGAAGCCATCATTAGTAATTTTATTAATTATCGAGATTGCATAGTATACGGTGTAGAGGTAATAATTATTTCATTTTCGTTTTTCAAGTAGTTTTTTGTAAGAAAAATAATTTGTGTATATTTATAATATTACACCAGCATGTTGATACAAAAAAATCTTAATAAACTGAATTAACGTTAGAGTTACAATATTTTGTATAAACATGATTTAGTAATAGATAAGGTAATAATGATTATCGACAGATTAAAGGTACTGAAGTCGACATTAAAGAACAATTACCTGCTTACGCTAGGCCGCAATTTGTCAGAATTTTGACGAAAATTGATCTCACAGGTATATGTTTATGTATAGATATATAAATATACTCGATATTTTTGCTGTTCATGTTGCAGTCTATAAGTTGTGCAATTTTAATTAATGAAATTATAATGTGTGTTTCAAAAAATATGCTTATGAAATATGTATTAAATATGAGTGTAAGTATTGAAAATAAGCATTGAATATTATTAGCTAATATAAAATAAATAATATATTAAGAGAGAAATTAGAGAACAACTAAATTACGAAGTGCACTTAATTTTGAATGCACTTTCGAAATACATGAAGCGAATATGTTAATACATTAACATGAATACATTAAACTAACAATAAGTTACACTAAGGTAACTATTTACGGTTTGCAGGAACATTCAAACTGAAAAAGAAAGATCTCCAGGAGGAAGGATATAATCCGTACAAAGTTCAAGACAAACTATATTATTTAAATGCAAAGCTCGGTTATCAGTTACTAACATCAGAAGTTTACGATCAAATTCAACAAGGAAAAATCAAGTTTTAATTGATATTTTTTGAACAAATACAAACTACATATGACAATGATATATTTACAATAAATATATTTTACAAGGCACTAGGCAGGTATACATAGACAATTATTACGAATGAATTTCAGAGACCTGATTAACTTGAAAAGTAAAGTGACTACGATATCCCAGCACTCAAGCGGAATTATATTGCATCAGTTTATTTTCAGTGGGTTATTATTTACAAATAATCATACTTGCATTAAGTTTTCTTCCGTTTATTGAATTTGCAGACACGGTATGGTAACAATATTCATAGAAATTGAAGGGATCTATTTTAAATATGACAAGAGGTGGATGTTAAACATTTAGAATTTAGTTAGAAGTAGTTAAGATAAAGTATAATATATAAAAAAGTATAAAATATTATAATGTCTAGACGTAGCTAAAAAGTTAAAATTGTTCATACAAATCTTATTTCAATATGTAGTTAATAATTAATAAATATTTTTATCCAGAATATTTTATATATAAGTGTGTTAAATATCACTTATTTCCATTTTATAAATTATGATATCTTCTTAGTGTTTTAACATAGTATTTTTTTAATGTTTCATGTTCATTTAACTTTTTAGTTATGTCTAGATTATAATATTTTTAATTTTATGTGATTCATATTAATATTGACATGTTAATATTTGTATTATTTTATAAAAAAGTTGAAAATATAAATGAATTTTTGTTATATAAATGATAGTTTATTTATTCCAAAAAGTTTGCAAGAAATATATGATAAATATGTACATTGTATTTTTTAAAAATTAAAATACTCAATTTATAAAAGACTAAAACATAACCATTTTTTAATAGATATTTAAAAACAATATTAAATACTTAATAAATTTTACATATTTTTTAAAATGGCACGATAGATGTCATTAGTTTTACACTGATTATTACATATCTATGCGCGCGTGTAACAATAATAATTAATCTAATAATTTAAATATTTGATTTTACCTTTCGAGCATTTTGAATGATTTTAGCCATCTAGAGTTCGTTGTGTTCGCGAATTGTTTGTACTAAAGAAAAACCTGAGAGAGATCAGCCGGTTTTTTTCCTGTTACCGTCGAAATCGCCCATACTAACGCCAGTACATTCATTTTCAGTTTGAAAACTACGTGACTATATACATTTTCTGACATTGTCGATAAAATTGTATATTGAAAGTATTGGGTCATCTAAAAAGTATCCGCGATTTTTAGATGACCCAATACAATTATCAATGCTGTTCAAAATATAATAAAAATGATAATACAGGAGCATAATTAAATTTTAATAATGCGAGATTATAAAACGTAATTATAAGAAAATACGTATGATATCACAAATTTTTCTAAACCAATGTTTAATGAAATATTGATAAATACTAACGCAAAACGAATACTAACAACAATTAGATCGTATCAACTATTAATTATTAATTTGCGAATATGAAACTTAACATCGCGATAAAAAGTCATTAATATATTTATAACAGCACTTTCATTGCGTTTAAGATAACTATCTTAATAATTTCATCATATTAAAATCTCTTCGCCTCGTAATACGTTAGTATCCGATACAGAAGAACAATCTTCGTAGTGGAGACTAAACTTAATGTATTCTGATTCTACGTCAAATACACAAGATCCATTTGCAAAGAAAAGTTAAGCATCCATAAAATATCAATAATCTTGTTACAGGAGAGTGTGAATCTTTCAGACTACTTACGATAATAATAATTTGGGTAGCATGTCAATTACAATTATCATTTTTTTTATCACATTTTCAATATAATATTAAAATTCGCGAGAAAATATGTTCTGCCACATCACTAAAAATCATCTCTTACTAAAAATAAACGGATAGAATGATTTCTTGCTGGAATAGTGGTTATGAATATTTAATAATAATAAAATACATGAGTTATTGTAATTTTTTTATGTGTATGGATACAAAAGTTTCTGGGGTATAGTAACTGTTCGAGCCGAATCTGATAAAATAACGGGATTTTAAAGAACTGTATTTTTATACTGAAAAATTTATTATATAAAATTTAACAATTTTTATTTTTCCGTATTTTTCAAAATTTTTAATTATTAATATTCTGCTAATATGCCCCCATATAGTCGACATCTTTCTATCCTGAGGATTTAGTATAGAGACAAACCACATCTTTTCACAATACGATTTTATCGATAGTGTCAGAAAATGTATGTAGTCACGTAGTTTTCGAACTGAAAATGGATGTACTGGCGGTAATGTACGGGCAATTTCGATGGTAACAGGAAAAAGGCTGGCATGGCCTCTCTCAGGTTTCTCTCTGGTTTCACAATTTATCGAGACGTGTAGGAAAAAAACATTTGCTAGTGCTGTAGATTGTTTTTCATCAAGACATCATTTACAAACAGTGAAAATGAGCTCGGGTTTCATATCGGAAGCTGAAATCGCCGAACAACGGCGAATGCGACAGGAGGAATGGGAACGCGTACGAACTGCCGATCAGCCTATAGGTTAGCTTTAGCGTTCCGTCTATATACATATTTATACAGCCACTCCTATGGGATTGTATTCAAATTGAAGATTAGGCATTGTATTATAACATTTATTGAAGTTAATTCATTGATTTTAAATGCTTACGAATAATAACTGATAAGTCTCGTTTATCTAATGATTTATAGAAGCTCCAGAGGAATCTTATGATCCTAGATCCTTGTATGAGAGATTGCAGGAACAAAAAAATAAAAGAGACATAGAGTATGAAGAAGCTCACAAATTAAGTAAGTGAAAAAGTGAAATTGATTTTATTTAAATTATGGATCTATAACGAATTTAATATTTTCATTTGTGTGTATGTGTGTATGTCTGATCCCTAATGTGATCCCTAAATTGATTTATCTTATTTTAATATTGAAGAGATAAATATGGAGTTAATAATCTTTTTCTTTATATGTTTTTTTTTTATAAATTTACCCTATCCTTTTTCTTGCTATGTATATAAATTAATAATATTTGTGCTAATGATTTAAAATGAATGAAAATTATATCAACATTATGGGAAATATTAGTATTTAACTACATTTCTAACTACATTTCAATTCTATTGTTGACATTTAAAATGATATTCTAAAAACATTTTGATATACATATATACTCTTTTCCTAGAAAATATGATCAAAGGATTGGATGATGATGAAGTAGAATTTTTGGACTTGGTTGATAGAACTAAGATGGAAGAAGAACGTAAAAAGAATCTTGAGGAAGAAAAAGAAATGCGCGATTTTAAAGCTGCAGTTGCTTCTCTTCAAGAACAGAAATTAAATGAAAAATTAAAGCAAGAATTGAAGAATCCATCTGTTAGCAGTAAAAATGCTGCCTGTGGAAGGTACTGTAAGAGGCAAATTAAATTTAATTTATAATATAACAATATAATATTATAATATGTTTGTCTTATTATAATATTATAACATCACAGTGATTCTCTATTTTGAAAGCTGTAATATTGAATAAAATTCGAGTCCAGAGATCAATTCTGAAATATATTTAATAATATAATAAAATTATTCAACTTTAATTATGTTTTAGTAGTCGCACTTCGCAGTTAAAATTACCCGCAGGCGTTGTATTGAAACGACCTGACAAACAAAAACAAGGTAAAGTTTTAAAAATATTTTATGAAAAAGTTGAACAATATTCTATATGATTATATTTATTATTTAATTGTTCATTCATGCAGAAGAAGTACTTAAAGGAATAAAAAGAAAATTGTCTCCATCCAAAGATAATACTGATACTAGCAAAAAGAAAGAGCCACATACATCTTGTGAGCCAGCTGCACGCGCGGATTCTTTTCTTTCTAGTCCTACATCAGATAAACAAAACGATAAGGCTACACCAAATCAAGTAAATACAAATTACATACATAGCGGACTCAAATGTATCGGTATATTACCTGGTCTTGGAACATATAATAATTCTAGTGACAGTGATTGTAGTTCTGATACAGATCAGGAAACAGAACCAAACCCTACCATTTATGATATGTTAGGTCGAAAAATAAAATCATTGAAAGATAAGGAGGAAAAGAGCTGAATGATATCTCTAAATACATATGTATATACACGTGTCTGTACGAGTGTATGTATGTATGTATGTATGTATGACAAAATAGATTTTGTGAATATAGAAAAAAGAAAATTATTAATTATGCCTCAATTGATTATATTCGAAATACATTTGGATACATACATACTTTCTACTACATTTAGAGAACATACTTGTCTAAAATTTGCTAGAATTTTTTCTTTAAATTTAGAGAAAGAGATAGAGAGAGAGAGAGAGAGAGAGAGAGAGAGATTCATGGTTTAAACATTCATGCATGTTAATTTTAATAATCACATTGATTATTTATTTTATCATAATTTCAAATTTTATAATGTACATACAATCTAATCTGGCATAATAGAAAGATTGATGTTAAATATATTGAAAAATTTGATTTACCAAATAAATAAATAATTATAAATAAAATTATATGTGTTTATACTTTTCCTTGCTACTCTCGATAATTTCTTTCTGTTTATCAAATATTTCGAATTTTATATTTTTCAGAAAAAAAAATGAAAAAGGCCCTCCTTTTGCGTCAATCAATCTCGAAGCGTCACTTTTAAAATTGACGCATCAGATTGGTTGACGCGACAAGCCTGCGACTGTTTGTGTTGTAGATCGGGCTAAATGGCGCGAGAAGCGATACGATGCAGTCGTGTAGAATCCTCAAATTGTCCCGAATGTCTCGCGATTGTTACCGTTCAAAGTGATCGTGCGCGAAAGCTAATCGCGAATATTTCGTTAAAACTGACGTTTGTTGTAATGCAATGATCAGCATTTCGGAATCGACTTGGCGTCGCGTCGTTCATAATCCGTTTCGCATTCGATAGTACATCGAAAAAGCAACGGCTGTACGATCGATGTCATTGCAAGTATGTGTTTTCGTTTTATAATTAAACGCACTTCTTATTTACTAAACATTTACTATTTCGATTATTTTCAATAGTTATTTATATATTTTTCATAATATTATTCGTTAAATAACTTACTCTGTAAAGCTGGAGTAAGTATTTGGAGAATATTTTAATTACAGCGATTCGATTCTGTATTTACTGTTTATTTGAGTAGCGTACCGCGTGAAGTTCGCCGCGCGTCGATGGCGTCAGTACTTCGAGAATCGCAAGATCTTTTCGGCAGAAACTCGAACCGCGGACAGTTACTTACGACGCGGACAACGGTATACGTGCATCGCGTTTGAATCGCTTCTTATGTTTTTCTCACGAATTGTTATCGTAAAATATAAATCTTACGCGCGAGTAATTATCACAAGTGTCTTTCGTAAAAGTATCGTATATTTCTCATAATTGCAGTATTATTTAAAACGTACACGATATCATGCTACGAATATTGTGATTGCGGTAATAGCAGTTAGTAATGGCGGTTAACTTGTTGCAAGTATGCCTCGGCGAGTCTTGAATCGTGATTTCGCGCATTTGAAGCTGCTGTTTTTTTGGAAAGAACATCTGGAACAGAATCGGCATATCGTATGTATCTTCATATATTGTATACTTTTATTCGCTTTCATTTCCGTTCTTCTCTGCGATTATGCGACATATTATATTTGCTAGCTTTCTAGCCGTATTGCTAGAAAGAATATTTTTGCCGATGGCAATTTTACATTATTTGAACACCGACGATTTGAATCAGTGATTATAAAATAAATCTTTATTTGTGAGAAATTAAATGCTATATTATATTAATGACTACAAATGTACAGAATGTTCTGCAATTATTGACAAAGCGCTCTTGTGTAGATAGAACAGAGTAAACTAAATTGTTCAATCGAAAAGTTCTCTACCATTTTGCAATTTTCGCAAATAATAGGATGTATTAATTATTAAAAATTACCGAATATTGATTTTTACTAATTTTTTACTCGAGTACTGTAATATAAGCTTTACGGAAAAATAACTAATGACAAAAATTATTAATTTTTTTCTTATAGAAATTTTAAGAATTTTTTCAGAATTTTTTAATATCGTATTTTCTCATGTTGGTAAAAATAGTTGCCAATATATATAAAAATATACAATACTAAAAAGTTAAAAAAAATAAGTAAAAAAAAATCCTGAAAAATTCTGAAAACATTCTTAGAGGTCATAAGAAATAAATAAACAATTTTTGTTTCCTGCTGTTTTTTTGTAAAGTTGATAATATTTGAGTAAAAAATTATTCAAGATCAATATTCGGCGATTTTTAGTAATTAATATCATAATATCTTATTAATTATTGCGAAAATTTCAAAATGATAGAGAACTTTTCAAATCCGCTCTATCTACACAAGAACTCTTTGTCAATAATTGCAGGACTTGCATACGACTTACGAAGATCTAAATTTACTTTAAAATATTATAATTTTCTTGTTAATAATCGGAAAAGATTTTGTTGTTTACATATGTAATTTTAAATAAAGTAAATAAACATAAAAATTTAAATTTTTTAATATTTGGAGATAATTCTTTTTCGAAATTACGCATTACACTTTCTTATTTGTATCATACATCGTGAAATACATTTTTGTGAAATATATTTCATGATCGTTTTAATCAACATAAAATCAATAAATTATTTCATATATAGCATTAAACTCAAGTCGATACATTACCATTATTGTAATGTTACCTACGTTCGAACATTCAAAATTCTTCAGTTATCCTCGAGCTGCCACTCGGCGCATGGATAAAGAAACTTTACTCAGAACGCCCACATATTGAACTAAATAGCAATCACAAATTTTCCCGCTAGATAACCGTTACGTATACAATAGTACGCGATGCTGTCGAATTTTCTTTTTCTACTGTTCCCTTTATGTCTTTATATAGTCTTCATTTCGCACGCGCGGAAGTATAATCTTCCAAAACCTTCTCTTTAATGGATTCCAATTAGAAAGGTATTAATTTCTCGACGTATTTCGTAGATACGGTATTTGTACGGTATTTGTATTTTTTATTTTTCTTGCGTATATAATAACCTAATACATTTTCCAGGTAGAAGATCCAAACAGAGCAATAACAAGTCACAATAACGTCAAAATGACATTAAAATGAATCGAAAATTGAAAAATGACTTTTAATGATTATTTTGGAGTCATCATTTGACATCATTTTGATATCATAATGACTTGTTCTGCTAAGGGATTTTATTTCAAAGATGATCTGCGTGCGAGGAGCGATGCCATGGAGCATGAAAAGAGAGAGGAGAAATCTTTTCTTAATAAATAAAAACAGAATAGATTTGCCTATATGATGTAATAAAGAAATAGCTCGAATTCGAATTTCTTTTGAGGAATAAGATTTTTTAAATATATTAAGATGATATTTCTCTCTTTAATGCCAATGGCTGTGTTCAATAGAAAAAGCAGCTTTGCAACTGTTGTAAAATTTTTGAATCTGATTGGTTTAGATCCAATGAGGGACTAAGGGCAAGACTAATCGTGTTAAGAATTTTACAACAGTTGCAAAACTATTTTTTCTACTGAATCTAGCCATTGAGCTTTTTAATGGAAATATGTTACAAATAAAAAAAAATACACAATCATATTAAAATCAAGATAACATCGAATGAAGTCATTTTAAGAAAAATTATGTTATTTGATACTTTTGGCAATGTTTTTATGATGAAGTCTTATGACAATGATTTTTCAGTGACTTTTAGTTAAAAAGTTACTTAAAATTATTATATCATGATTAATTAAAACATCATTATCACGTCAAGAATTCATCACAAAATCTTCGTCAAAAGTGTATAAAACAACATAATTTTTTTAAAAATGATTTGATATAATTTTGATCATATTATGATTTTACAAGGTTCTATCCAGATATTGGGCATTTCTGTTAAAAAATTAAGAGTTATCAATTTTATATTTTAGAGATCTGATTCATCAAACTGATTAATCGAATTTAGTCTATTTCTTTATTACATCATATAAGTAAAGCTATTTTATTTTTATTTATTAAATTCTTCTCATGTTACGTGCCTCCGCTTCTCAACGGATGAAATCTATACTTGATTTACATTCTGTACCTAGTATGCCTATTAATCAACTAAAGATTATAATTTGTCAGCCGAAATTTTATTACAAAGTAATATTTATCGAAATTTTTCTATTATTTCAGAAACTCACGCATTTTTGTGATCACTCTCTTAACTTTGACTATTAACGTCGCCATTTTGTGGGTATACATGCTTAAGTACCAATGATTGTACATACAAACGAGCGCAAACGAGCGTTTGAGCGATATAGAATAGCCAGAATTGTCATTAAGCCCCGTGGATGGTTTCCCATTGGGACCCGTGGGATTTCCCGGCTGCGTATCACATTCACGCAATACCTCACTACATACATGTGTGTGTGTGTGTGTGTGTGTGTATAAATGTGTTTTATCCCGATTCCCCTGATTCTTATATCGATCCGACAGATCTGATATCATCCAACGTTATCCCTTGGGCTCTCACTCATCTGCCGACAAAAGAGCATCTGTGCGAACCGATCCGTAATGCTCCTGCAACCTGTTCACAAGTAGCTTGCCCCACGCAAGCATGAATTCATTATCAGTCTAGTATAAACATATTGCCTGTATATGGATGGGGTACTGTCAGTCAACAGAGCGGCGTTTTTTACGCGCTCTCTTTCCAAATTATTTCTGTATATACGTCGTAACTGCGGATCTTCTGTCGTGTACATTAAATTCATGCGATTCACATCTTCCTTTCTACTTTGGGAAAAAATTGACAAACTCCAATTGATGTATCATCTCGTCATTTCGTTACATCGCGTCGATTAGACGTGAAATTGTAATATATGTATACATATTACACTCTCTTTTATTTTACTCTAATAAGTCCTAATCTTAGACGGAATATAAAATATCCCGTCAAAATATTGGCTTTTTGAAAAAATTATTAATACTTATTAAATTATTAATATTTATTTCTTTATTAAATATACAAGAGAAGCATTTTCCATCTTTTCAAATTAATACATTTTGTGCAATATTCTGATAATAGGAGAATCAATTCCCGATGCCAAAAGATTTTCATATTTTATC